TTGCTGGATCTCCATTTTAATTTGGTCGTTGATCCATTGATTATTTAGGAGCATGTTGTTAAGCCTCCATGTGCTTGTTAACCTTTATGCTTTCTTTGTACAATTTATTTCTCATTTTATACCTTTGTGGTCTGAAAAGTTGGTTGGTAGGATTTCAATCTTTTTTAATTTACTGAGGCTGTTTTTGTGGGCTAGAATGGGGTCTATTCTGGAGAATGTTCCATGTGCACTTGAGAAGAATGTGTATCCTGCTGCTTTTGGGTGTAGAGTTCTATAAATGTCTGTTAGGTCCATCTGTTCTAGTGTGTTGTTCAGTGCCTCTGTGTCCTTACTTATTTTCTGTCTGGTGGATCTGTCCTTTGGAGTGAATCATTTGTTGAAGTCTCCTAAAATGAATGCACTGCATTCTATTTCCTACTTTAGTTCTGTTAGTATTTGTTTCACATATTTTGGTGCTCCTGTATTGGGTGCATATATATTTATAATGGTTATATCCTCTTATTGGACTGAGCCCTTTATCATTATGTAATGTCCTTCTTTATCTCTTGTTACTTTCTTTGTTTTGAAGTCTATTTTGTGTGATACTAGTACTGCAACACCTGCTTCTTTCTTCCTATTGTTTGCATGAAATATCTTTTTCCGTACCTTGACTTTTAGTCTGTGCATGTCTTTGGGTTTGAGGTGAGTCTCTTGTAAGCAACATATAGAGGGATCTTGTTTTTTTATCCATTCAGTGACTCTGTGTCTTTTGATTGGTACATTCAGTCCATTTACATTTAGGGTGATTATCGATAGGTATGTACTTATTGCCATTTCAGTCTTTAGATTCGTGGTTACCAAAGGTTCCAGGTTACTTTCCTTACTATCTAAGAGTCTAACTTAACTCACTTAGTATGCTGTTACAAACACAATCTAAAGGTTCTTTTCTATTTCTCCTCCTTTTTCTTCCTCCTTCATTCTTTATATATTATATATCAAATTCTGTACTTTTTGTGTATTCCTTGATTGACTTTAGGGACATTTAATTTAATTTTGCATTTGCTTCATAATTTGCTGTTCTACTTTCTTTACTGTGGTTTTATTACCTCTGGTGACAGCTATTCACCCTTAGGGACACTTCCATCTATAGCAATCCCTCCAAAATAGACTGTAGAGATGGTTTGTGGGAGGTAAATTCTCTCAGGTTTTGCTTATCTGGAAATTATTTAATCCCTCCTTCAAATTTAAATGATAATCTTGGCAGATAAAGTAATCTTGGTTCCAGGCCCTTCTGCTTCATGGCATTAAATACATCATGCCACTCCCTTCTGGCCTGTAAGGTTTCTGCTGAGAGTCTGATGGTAGCCTGATGGGCTTTTCTTTGTATGTGATCTTATTTCTGTCTCTGGCTGCTTTTAACAGTCTGTCCTTATCCTTGATCTTTCCCGTTTTAATTACTATGTTTCTTGGTGTTGTCTTCCTTGGGTCCCTTGTGTTGGGAGATCTGTGGATCTCCATGGCCTGAGAGACTATCTCCTTCCCCAGATTGGGGAAGTTTTCAGCAACTACCTCCTCAAAGACAATTTCTATCCCTTTCTCTCTCTCTTCTTCTTCTTTTGGTATCCCTATAATGCGAATATTGTTCCATTTGGATTGGTCACACAGTTCTCTCAATATTCTTTCATTTTTAGAGATCCTTTTTTCTCTCTGTGCCCCAGCTTCTTTGTATTCCTCTTCTCTAGTTTCTATTTCATTTATTGTCTCCTCTACCATATCCAACCTGCTTTTAGTACCCTGCATCGTGCTCTTCAACAATTGGATCTCTTACCTGAATTCATTCCTGAGTTCTTGAATGTCTTTCAGTACCTCCATTAGAATGTTAGTGATTTTTATTTTGAACTCCCTTTCAGGAAGAGTCACGAAGTCCATATAATTTAAATCTTTCTCGGGAGTTGTATTAATAATTTTACTCTGGACAAGGTTCCTTTGGCGGTTCATGTTTGTATATGGCGCCCTCTAGTGTCCAGAATCTCTATTCTGGAGCTGTTCAGCCCCTGAAGCAATGTGGGGGGTCGCAGGGGAGTGGTACTTGTGCCTAGGGGGAGGAAAGAGATGTTCCCCACCTCCCTGGCTGCTGTGCCTGTCTCCACTGCCTGAGCCAGTGGGCCGGTCACACAGGAATAAGTTTTTGTCCCAGAGCAGCTGGATATGGGTCCCTGCTTTCCACAAGCGGTGGGAATCCCAGTCTCCCCAGGAACTCTGCCTGTATTAACTTTCCAACCGGGTAGTCATATGAGTCTCATGGAAGCACCACGAAATGTAGGTTTGTGCTCCCAGAGCAGATCTCCAGAGCTAGGTATTCAGCAGTCCCAAGCCTTCCACTCCCTCCCTGCTCCGTTTCTCTTCTGCCAGTGAGCTGGGGTGGGGGAAGGGCTCGGGTCCCACGGAGCCACAGGTGTGGTTTGTTACCCAGTTCGGTGAGGTCGGCTCTTTTCTCCAGGTGTTTGCAGTGACGCCGTCCTCTTTCCTGTTGCTCCCTCAAGATTAGTTACGCCAACTATATTTTCTAATTGGATCCAGTTTTAGGAGGAAGCCTCTGTCTCTCCTCTCACGCCGCCATCTTTAATCCCTCTGCCAGCTTATTTTTTAACTTTACCTATACGCTGTTTTTTTCTCCTTGCGGCCCTCATCAATTAGTGTGCAACTTAGGCAACTAATTTAGCATGCAGGCCCAGCTGTAAACAACATAGTAAAAGGCAGGAAGTTGAGAAGTAAGATTCTTAACTTACCCTTTAGCAAAAAGAGAATAACTCAGCCCACCTTGGACAATAGGTAGGCAGTCTTTTTTGATATGCTCCCAGACCAAGACTCCAGTAGTCCAGGGAAAAATCAGAGCAGGAAGTGCCTTGTGTTAAGTTAATTCTAAGTATTCAGTAACCACTTAACAAGTCTGCACCCCCAGCTCTTAGTCACTTTCCCGAAGAATCCTTAAAAGGGGGAACCCCCAATCTTTCGGGTGCTCCTCTCTCTGACATCGCCTGCACTTTCTAAGTGAGTAACCTTTTAACTTTAAACCCAACCTTTCAGGGGGCGCTCCTCTCTCTCTGAGGTCGCCTGCACTTTTTCTCTAAATAACTTTAAATAAAACTTACTTTGCTCCACTACTGAGACAGGGACTGTGGGTTTAGACAGAGTAGGGTGAGGGCCTCCAGAAAAAGACCCCTACTGAAACGCCATGTTAAACAGTTAGGCAAAGCCAGAGTCACATTAATTCTCTAAAGTAAAATATCAAACTAGGAATGTAAGCATTCTTCAGTGAGATTAGTTAAAACTAAAAGCCAGAGTTAACTTGGCCTGGAATATTTGAATATCCCCCAGATAAGAAAACACGTCAGCATAGCCCATGTCTTCATAGTGTCAATTAAATCAGGCTATTATAAAATTTACTTTAGCCTGCTAAAAGGCCCAGCTTATTTTCTTTAATCTTACCCTGATAGGGAAAATTTACAAGGACAGCAACCTAGTGGGTGGCTCCACTCTGTCTTGCACCCCTCCCTCCTCAACATAAACAACACTACAAGGACAGTAATTTACGAGGTGGCTCCCCTCTGCCTCACCCCCTTCCTCAACCCAAACAAAAAAAAAAAACACTCCCTTGGTTTCCCGGTGCAGCACCGGGTCCCAAGGTTCCTTCCCTAAACTCCCTCCCCTTTGCCTGCTTGCTTGCTGTGCATATAGGAATGTTACAGATAAGGAAGCAGAAAGGTATAAATTTCTCCCTTTTCCTTTGTTCGGGGCTCAGACTTTTTGGGAGATTACTCCCCTCTGAGCCCGCCGGTGTGAAATAAAGCCTCAACACTCCAAGACCTCTGAGTGCCGCCTGGTTTTTTTCCGTCGGTGATTCAGTCCAGGCTTTTTTTCAGTATTTTCTGTAACAACCCGAGTGCTGCTTTTCTTCCTCCAGCCCTAATCAAGTAATTTACAACCTGGGCAGTTAATATGGCAAGCAAGCCCAGTCATAAACAACATAGTAAAAACAGGAAAAAACTCCATCTTAAAGATAAGATTGCATTTTAAAACCCAAGAAGTAAAAAATAGGTTTCTTAGCATAACAGACAATAACTCAGCCCACCTTGGGAGCAGGATAGGCAGTCTTGATTGATACACTCCCAGACCAAGAAGCAACTATCTGGGGAAGGAATCTGCTCCCAAACCTAGAAGCTGCTTATTCTGGGAAAGAATCAAAGCAGTACATTTCTTGTGTTAACTCTGCAAAATAATCCGGAAGACTGATAAGAAACTTAGTGTCTCTTCAAAGATAAGCATTTGGGGACCATTTAGCCTGTCTGCGTTCCTTGCCCTTTGTCTCTCAGCTGCCTATAAATCCCCTAAACAACGCACCAACATGGACTCTCTTGTCCCCTCCTGGCATGAGCCAAGAGCTCTGTCTTCTCACTTTATCTCTAAATAAAAGGCTCGCACTTGCTCTTCTACTTTGAGTGCTTGTGAAGTTCATTCTTTGACTCGGTGAACAAGAACCCCATCATCACTACTGTGTCTCTGCCCTTCAATTCTTTGTTATGGCAGAGACAAGAACCAAGGAAAACACACAACGCTCCCGGAACTGTAAGTACCTATAGCCTGCTACTGACCAGAGCCTTACTGATAAAGTTGATTAACACACATTTTGTATATGTATTATATACTGTATTGGTACAATAACCTAGAGAAAAACCTTTTTTTCAAGTTGTCGCAAATCCCCCAAAAATTTCCCAGTATAGTTATTGAAAAAACTCCGCATTCAACTGGATCCGTGCAGTTCAAACCCGTTTTGTTCAAGAGTCAACCTTGATTTTTGAAACTCTAGACTCCATTTCCCTTCAGGCATGGCAGTCTCTGGACTACAACTCCCATCAGGACAGGCAGGCCACGTCCTCCGTAATTACCCAATTCCCTCAATCTGGTTTTCCAGGCCCAGCATTCCTTGTTTTCCTAATTTGCTAGAGCATAGCAAATCCTACGAAAAGCCAATTGGATCAGGAAATGTGAGACCAGGTCGGCCAATCCGCCAGTCAGAGGGGCGGAAGAGGGCTTGGCCATATCATGCTTGGTCCCATGCTCCGCGGCTAGGTCACTTGGCCTGGCAACTTGGGCAGGACCAGACGACATGGGCGCCACCTGGGGGAACCCCGGACGCGCGCGGCTGGCGCTGTGCCTCGCGGGCTTAGTGCTGTCTCTCTACGCGCTGCACGTAAAGGCGGCGCGCACCCAGGACAAGGATTATCGCGCGCTCTGCGACTTGGGCACCGCCATCAGTTGTTCGCGTGTCTTCTCCTCCAGGTGAGTGTGGGAGTGGAAGGCTTGGGGGATCTGGGCTGCCCGTGGAAGCAGTGCATGGCGACCAAGTGTGCATGGTGGCCAGGTCGCCAGACGATTCTGGAGCCTGGGATGGGGCGCCCGGGGAGTGGACGCATGGGGGCCCAGCTGGTCCAGGAGGCGTTGCCTGGAGAAACGGGTGTGTCCAAGGTAGTGTAGAGCGGGGCCGGAGGCGTTTGATAGTGCTGGAGTTATTCTGGGGAGTAGCACGTGGCTTCCCATGCCAAGGAATAACGGTGACCGGATAGGAGGGGAAGGTGGCTAGCATAGGAACTGATGTTGGTCTTGAGGATGGCTGTGACTGGGAACAAAGGCGGCCAGAACTGGCTATGCTTGAGGGCCCAGGATTAGTGGGATGCCTGGATACAGAGGAAGGGAGTGGGCAGCCAGGAAGCTGGAGATTTAGGAGTACAGGGTAGAGAGATTCTGCCCTGGGTTCTCAGTCACAGGTAATTCCGTAAAGCGAGGTCAACCCTTATATCCACTTTGACGTTTTAAAAATTACTGAAGATCTAGGATGAAAAGATATCTATGGGGGAACCATGGTCAGGCCTGGCCTGGGGATAGGGGAGGATAGGGGCAGTTACTTGGAAACCTGAGGTGGCCAAAGGGAGGATACACCAGGAGGTCACTGACCCTTGGACTCAGCCTGGCATGGGTGAAAGAAGGAGGGGAAGGGCAGCCCATATGGCATCATGGAAATCACCACTCCAGGACAGGGCCCAAGGCACTGGGTTAACACTCCTAACATAGGCCCTTCCCTTCACCAGTTGGGGCCAGGGCTTTGGACTGGTGGAACACATGCTGGGCCAGGACAGTGTACTCAACCAGTCCAACAGCATATTCGGTTGCATCTTCTACACGCTACAGCTGCTGTTAGGTGAGTGGCCCCACCCCTTCGTGATAGGCCCCTTTCTGCCTTGGCCAGCCCAGCCCCATCCCTTGCAATCTTGGTAACCCAATCATCTGACAACCAGCTGCCCATCAATGAGAACCCTGGGAGTGGAACTAACAGGAGTCTTTCAATTGGTTTAGATACTATCAGAGCCAGAAGGATTTCCTAGGACCCCAATTTTGTGGAAGAGACTCAGAAGTTCCTTTCTAGGGGGGATTCCAAGGATTGCTGTCTTTAATCTCATGAAAGCTCAGCAGAGAAATTCACTATTTGGGTCCTAGAGATCACTGAACAGATAGAACCAAGGCTTTGGTAGGGCCTGTTAGAACCTCCCATTTTAGAGACTCTTTCCCAGGAACCCCTGCTGTCTGGGTGGCACCACTAAGTTGCAGCAGTGTTCTAGAGGTGGATAGTTTCCTGAAGCCCTTGCCTGACCTTTTTCTGCCTTGCAGGTTGCCTTCGAAGCCGTTGGGCATCTCTCCTGCTGGTGCTGAGTTCGCTGGTGTCTCTTGCTGGTTCTGTCTATCTGGCCTGGGTCCTATTCTTCGTGCTGTATGATTTCTGCATCGTTTGTATCACTACCTATGCTATAAATATAGGCCTAATGGTGCTTAGCTTCTGGGATTTCCAGGGACTCCAGGGCAAGGCCAAGAGGCACTGAGCCTTCACCCCAAGCCAGGCTAACTTCATGCTCTGCTTTGGCATGTTGAGCCTTACCCAAGGGGGCCATGTCTGGATCCTTAGAAGAGTCTGCAACCCACCATACTCCCACACAGACAATGGACCAAATGTACTACACTCTTTCCTCTACCCTAGTGCCTCTGTCTCTGTCCCAAAGGGCTGCTTTCCAAAGCTCCTGCCATCCAAGGAGGGAAGGCTCTGAGCAATAAAGTTTCTTAAATAAATTAGCCAAGTCTGAGCCATCTGTCTGCCATGGACCGTAGTGTTACACCCCCCTAGTTTTGTCTCCTCTGGGACTGGAAGGATATGAGTTACAGGGAGAGTAGAGAGCCTGCCTGGGAATAGGAGTCCCTTCCCCAGCATGTGGAGTCAGCAAGACCTGGGGCACCATCAGCCCCCACCCCTAAGAAACAGACTGGTAGCTTGTTCCTGCTGCCCACAGTAGCCAGGCCTCCTCTCCTGGGAGTGCCAAGCACACACTTGCAAGGGCAAGCTGCCCTTCTGGTTTTGTGCATGCTTACTGGGAAGTTCTCCCTATAGTCTAAACTTAACCCTTCCTGCTGCCTTATCTACCACCCAAGTCTTGGCAGTTTTGGAGGCTAGGGTCAGTTTGTAAGTTTTGTTTTTGTTTTTCCTAATATATACTAATCCCTTACCCACATGCCAAGCACATGTATTAACTCATTGAACGTAAGTACTGTTATTCCCATCTTGATGAGGAGACCAAGGTACAGAGAGGCTAAGTAATTTGCCTAAAATCAACTCCACAGCTAGTGCCAGAGAGGGTGTTAGGGAGCCTTCAGGATTTGAATCCACTGGAGCCATTTGGCTCCAGTGACTGTGTTCTTATCCCTGGCCACAGCTGCCTCTGTGTTGGGGTCAGGGTATCCAAACAGACTGGGTTGGCCTCACAAGTCAGGAAGAGGAAAAGGACAGACCCTGAGTGTCCCTCCCTCCTGATCAAGTCTTCCAATACTTGCAAGAAAGGTGGGCACCACCATAACCCTATTTCCCAGAAAGGTGGCAGAGACGTACTGAGATTTGCCAGTCTCATAGCCACCAAATAGGAGACAGCCCTGGCCTCTCAACACCCGGCCCTGTTTACACTGCCTCTGAAGCAAGATGGGAGAAGGTATGTGAAATCCACCTAAACCTGGGCCTGGAAGAGAGGCAGGGAAGCTGGAGAAGTGAGATGGCCTACCCACTGCACCCTTCATAGCTCCAGAAGGAGAGCATCCATGCTGGAAGCAAGTTAATGCCATTTCTACGTTCAATAAGTGAGTTTTTCAGACAAAATACAAACAGGCTAACTGTCCAGAGTCACTCAAGAATTAAAGTGGGGAATTTGTATTTGAACCATGGCCATAGCTGAGGCCCAGAGAGGGTTAGTGAACAGCCAAAGGTCACAAAGACACAGCACCAAGCTGGGAGCTGCTGGCTAGCTTTCAATCCAGGAAAAGCAATGACACCTGACTCCCAGCCAACTTGGGATGGAGCAGGGGTGGAGCTAAGGAGACCCAGATGGCTTCTCTGAAAATCAGCGCAGGCGGCAAAGTAGCCTGTGACAATATGAGGCAGAGCCGGGGACCAGGACTTCTCATCCTGGGAGCAGTAGTCCTCACAGAGGGTGAGTCACCCACATCAGAGTGGGCGGGGGCATAGTGTGGTGGGGTGCAGGGGCCACCCTCTAGGCCAGCAGGCCCTGCAGCTTGGTGCATGAGGCAATCTGCCTGTGGGGCAACAGTCTGCCTATGGCATTGTACGTGGCTGTAGGGGGGAGGTATATGTGGCTACCTGTGTCAAAATAGGTGTGATTTTCTTGGATTAGTTTTTCTGCAGAAACTGTGTCCATTTGCCTGCCTTCTGCCAGAAAGACAAGTCCTGGGGCTCTTTGGCTTTAGTCTCCCTATCTTAACACATGTCCCATCTGTGGCTCAGATGTTCAGTGGGTGTGTTTGTGTGGGCCGGTTATGGGGAAGAGGCAGGGCAGACGACATTTTGGTAGAGTGGTGGCTTCTGGAAAGAGGGAAATCCAAGTTGTCGGAACAAGGGTGGAGTGAGTCTCAACCTCTTCAAGCCCTCCTCCACTTGGACGTGACACAAGCCTCTAATCCTTTCTTTTAGGCCTCCATGGCTGAGAGCACAATTAAGCTAATGCTTTATACATTCACAACCATCTCCCTGACTCACTGGTAGGGGCAGGAGTCAGGAGTTCTGAAGCCTGGAGGAGGACTGGTTCCAAGCCGAACTCCAGGCCCTGCTCCTCAAGCCCAAGAGTGCTGAACACAGCTAAGGGAGGAGAATTAATTATTGAGTGTATGTTCTGAGTAAGTTCCAATAAAAGCTATTTCATGACATCATATAAATATTTTCATTTTGGGAGGAGCTGGTGAGGTAGCCACAGAATCATAGGTAAGGACCCAGGGCCCATTTGCTGAAACCTGTCCCCTCCACCAAGACTGGGTCAAGCAGGTAAGGCTCCCCAAAGTCTCACCTGTGTCTCTCTTCCCAGGTCTTCAAGCAGCTCAGCGTGGTAAGCTCTAGGGATGTGGGGCCTGGGCCTTGGGTCTGGGTTGGGCCTGCGGTGAGGGCAGGACAGAGGCCTGCCATCAGCCTGACCCACCTCTCTCCACAGCATGTGGGCAGCAGGGCCCTGGCCCCCCTGAGCCTCAGGAAGGCAACACAATGCCTGGTGAGTGGCCGTGGCAGGCCAGTGTGAGGAGGCAGGGGTTCCACATCTGCAGCGGGTCCCTGGTGGCGGACACCTGGGTCCTCACTGCTGCCCACTGTTTTGAAAAGTGAGTTATGGCTGGGATCAATCAGTGTTACTGGCCTTGGGGAGGATGGCAATTTGTTCCCAAACCCCACCAGACCAATCCCTTCCCCAGAATAATGGAAGTACCATTTATCGAGACTATGCCATGTGCCAGGTACACATTATCAAGGTAATCTTAACAACCTGTTATAGTAGAAGCCTTACAAATGAGAAAACAGGTTGGAGAAGGAAAGGCTTTGCTTAAAGCCACAGGCCGGTATTTGCCCATCTTTCACCTACCTTGTGCTGTCTCCCATGATGCCATTGTCCTTTCCTTCTTTTGCCCTCTACACCTGGGCCTTGTCCCTCCCTTTCTAGGGTGGCAGTGACAGAACTGAACTCCTGGTCAGTTGTCCTGGGTTCTTTGCAGCATGAGGGGCTGAGCCCAGGGGCTGAGGAGGTGGGGGTGACTGCTCTGCAGCTGCCCAGGGCCTATAACCACTACAGCCAGGGCTCAGACCTGGCCTTGCTACAACTCACCCAGCCCATGGTCCACACACCCCTCTGCTTGCCCCAACCCACCCATCGTTTCCTCTTTGGGACCTCTTGCTGGGCCACTAGCTGGGATCAGAACACTGATGATGTTAAGTACTATCCCAGACTGAAGCCCAGAGATCACTTGCCCAAGCTCACAACTTTGGCTGCCACTGTCCCTGCCCCCAGACCTGTCTCCCTTGCTCCCTGGAGCCCAGACCCTAGTCCCAACCCTCTCTTTTGCCAGCTCCCAGGACCCTAAGGAATCTGCGCCTGCGTCTAATCAGCTGCCCCACTTGTAACTGTCTCTACAACCAGTTGCATCAGCAGCTACTGGCTAGCCCAGCCCAGCCTGGGATGCTGTGTGGGGGCACCCAGCCTGGGGTGCAGGGACCCTGTCAGGTCTGATGGGAGGACAGGGGAAAGAAGCAGAAGGGGAGGGGGCCTAGTCCGGGTCTGGGCACTCAATCCATAGGGATGGGTGGAAGGGCCCCTGTTGGAGGGTGTCTGCCCAAAGCTGAGGCTCAGGCTTCTGTCCTTGACTCTGCTGCCCGGCTCCAGGGAGATTCCGGAGGCCCTGTGCTCTGCCGTGAGCCTGATGGGCAGTGGATTCAGGCTGGGATCATCAGTTTCACAGCAGGCTGTGCCCAGGAAAACACTCCTGTACTGCTGACAGACATGGCTGCTCACAGCTCCTGGCTACAGGCTCGAGCTCAGGAGGCAGCCTTCCTGGCCCAGAGTGCAGAGATCCTGGAGATCAGTGATGAGGACAGCTGTGTAGGTAGGAGCAGGGGGTTGTCAGGAGTGGAATGTGTGAGGATACCCAGGCCTGCCTGAGGACTTCTGGGCAGCAGGTGGAAGCCACAGTGAAGCAAATTTCAGACTGGAATAGAGAATTGATACAGGGCATCCACCCTGCAAGGAGCTATCTAGGCAGCCTTTAAAGCCCCTTTCAGCTCTTAGGATAGGAACAACCCCATTTAGGGCTAAAAGGCACAGATGCTTCAGAATCTTAGGTGTTTCAAGTTTAGGTAAGAAGAGGAATCTCTGAGATCTGGCTAAAAGTTTTTGAGATAAGCAGCAAGTTCCCAAGCAGAGACCTGATGAGATTGGACAAGGCAGGCCTCCTTCAAAATTCTGGCAGGAAAGTGACTAACATGCAAACTGAATGCAAAACAATTCCTGGGACAGAAGCAATCTATGTCTTGATGGTAAGAGAAGCACTAGTAAGCCAGGACATCTGGGACCAGTCCAAGCTCAGAGGGGTGCAAGACAGGTGGGGTAGGATAACAATAAGCTGGGCCACTCCCATGAAGCTGGACCATCAGGGTTAAAAGCTTAGGCCCTGGCTTTTGAATCCCAAGTCAACTACTTACCTGTAGTCACGGAGCTAGAAAGTCACTTAACCTCTCTGGAACTTCAGTTACCTTTGGTAACATGGGTTACCAAAGGCCTTGACATGCAGTGAGCACTCAGTAAGAAGGCAGACGATGTAATCCATGTTTCAGCTTGTGGATCCTTGAGAGGGTCTCCAGGCAGGAGCCCCCTTCCCATGGCCCTGGGATGCCAGGCTGAGGCACTAGGGGAAGCTGGCCTGTGGTGGAGCCCTGGTGTCAGAGGAGGTGGTGCTGACTGCTGCCCACTGCTTCACAGGGTGAGCCCTGGCTCCCTCACCTTTGTGTCCCATCCTTGCTGGCAAACTTGCCACCCAATGCTGTCTCTGCACAGGCGCCAGACCCCAGAGGAATGGAGAATTGGGTTGGGGGCTGGACCAGAGGAGCGGGGCCTAAAGAAACTCATCCTACATGGGGCTTATACGCACCTGGAAGGGGGCTATGATGTGGCCCTCCTACTACTGGCCCAACCCATGACACTGGGCCCCAGCCTCCAGCCCCTGTGCCTGCCTTATGCTGATCACTACTTGCCTGATGGGGAGCATGGCTGGATTCTGGGGCTGGCCCAAGGAGCAGGTATGTAGGACACAGCCGCCAGCAGCTGTCCATTCAGCCTAGAGGATGCTGGGCAACTTAGGTCTTTTCCCTTGCCCTACAGACACCAGCTTCCCTCAGACAGTGCCTGTGACCCTCTTGGAGCCTAGGGCCTGCAGCCGCCTGCATGCAACCCTTGAGAGTGATGGCATCCCCATCCTGCCAGGGATGGTGTGTACCAGTGTTGTGGGTGAGCCACCCCACTGTGAGGTGAGCCCGTCCCCCAAACCTTACCCCACAGACCCCTAGTGTCTTCACCCTACAACTTATGTAAACCTTCTGCCACACTTGGTCTCTGGACCTGCCTATCACCTGAAACTTGGCTTTTCAGCAAAGTGGCTCCCAAAGAGCAAGAGCCTCAACCCAGCCCCTAGCTACTTCTGCCACCTGTAGCTGCCTAGGGGTAATAGAAAGTCATCCAGTGTCACCTAAACCCTGGCAGGGCCTGTCTGGGGCACCACTGGTGTACAAGGTGAGAGGCACATGGTTCTTGGCTGGGCTACACAGCTTTGGAGATGCCTGCCAAGGCCCTACAAGGCCTGCAATCTTCGCAGCCCTCCCCACCTATGAGAACTGGGTCAGCAGCTTGGACTGGCAGTTCTATTTTGCAGAGGAGCCAGAGCCCGAGACTGGAAGCTGCCTGGCCAACATGAGTATGTGACCCTGGGGCCTCCCTGCTGACCCTTCCCTCTCGGTCTATGGAAAGATCTGTTCTGACTGAACTCTGGCTGCCCTGGGTGAGGTGTAGTAGTGGACAGACCCATCTGGATTCAAGTTCTGTTTCTTCATCAATGTGTGACTTGGGGGCAGGCCCCTCAACCTCTTAAAACCATAGCTTTCTCATCTGTCATGGGGGTTAAGTAGCACCTCCCTCCTCTTCCTTGGAGGACAGGGTACAGTTGTAAGAATGAAGCCAACCCCACTCTCCTTCCTCTCCCTGACAGGCAAAACAGGCGGCTGTTGAGAGGTGGCTCTGGGATACTGCAAACAGTGAAGCAATTCCTGCATCACTGCTCCTGCCCCTCTGCCATTCTCCCACCCACACACTATTCCAGGCACTGGAGCAGCCCACCAGCCCAGCAGGTTCAGGGAAAGCACCTGCCCCCACTCCCCACCCTGAAGGACAGGGAGATAGTGCCTGTGGATGCTTCCTCATACCCAGCTCTGCTGCCCAACAAGGACATCCCCAGCTTTCCCTCTTCTTCCCCTCAGATAGAATCACACCAGCCTTGTACTTTGGAAATTTCTTTTTTGGCGGGGAGCAATTTTCCTTTAAAACTTAAATAAATTGTTACAAAATAGACTTTAGAAAATAAGTTACAAATTGTAGCAAAAGGCTCCCCTCCCACAGGCAACAGTCCCACCTGTGGCTCTCTCTGAATCTGCCTCTCCCTGATGTTGGAATCTGGCTGGTGAGGGTGGCCCAGCATCATGGCAGAGCCTGGCACTGGATTTCTTACAGGGCTAGTCACACGGAAGACCATGGTGACAAAGGCTGGGGGAAGGAGGTCCTTCAAGGTCAGGGACATGAGGAACACCTCACCCCCTTCTTAAGCCAGATCTGGGTCCTCCTCATAGGAGAGAAGAACAAGAGATGGGGACGCCAAACTACTCCTGAGCAAAACATGGATATCAAGCCTTTCCCGGCAACCCGCCCCACTACCCAGTGTGGTGATCTTTGGAGACTTGAACTTCAGAGGGGGAAGCTGAGGTCTGCAGGCCATTGGGGTGAAGGGTCCAGAAGTGGGGCTGACGGGGGTGGAGAAAAATGACAAGTCCCGTCTGCCTGCCGCTGGTGCTTTTGGGGCTCCTGGGGAGAGAGAGAGGTCACTGAGGGGGCAAACCCCAGCTTGTCCCCTGCTTCCCCAGCCCTATAGGCCATCTCCCGAGCCCATGGCCCCAGAGGCCTATGTGAGAACTCCAAGTCATTTTCCCAGACCTGGCTAATTGGCTCTTTGCTCATTCCCTAAAGGTCACACAAAATCTTTTATGCAGAAAGCCATCTTGTCAGGTCTCTCAGGAGACTCTCATCCACCACCCCCTCCTTCCCAATCTCTGGTCAAGAGTTCACCATCTCAGGGATACCCACCCTGGTGGCCACTAAATGCAATGGGCCCTGGGAGAAGGGCTACTGATTACAGCAGATACAGGGCACACATCCAGGGCCTGCTGAGGGAACAGGCTGCCCCACTCCTCTGTAGCCTCATCCTCCAGCAGGGCTAGGCAAGGTGACTTTCCATGAAGACTATCCCAATAGAGGCCAGGAAATAGGGGCTAAAGACTGTTGTTGCTATAGTTGGGCCTGGCATCAAAGGAACAATTATGTGTGTCTCAGTTCTCCAGTTAAAGGTGCACTGATGGGCAGCGGGGTATGCAGGTGGAAAAGTTGGTTTGGCTGGGTCCTAAAAGAGATACACAGCAGAGGGAGAAAGGGTTGACTAGAGGGAAGAAGAGACGTGGGGCAATACTGATAGAAAAAGTAGTTTCCAAGAAAAGAGAAGGAAGAACAAGAGAGACAGCACAGGAGAAGAGGGATGGGGAGCTGGGTGCCAACCAGAGACCCAGTTTCCTTGGCCAGGTCAGCAATGAAGCTACAAAACAGTCCAGTCTTGGGGTGCCTCCCATGTCCCAATCCTCATTCTCTGGCTCTCTGCCTACTACAGATAAGAGCAGAACCTAGACCACCTTTTTCTCTGGAAATCATCACTGGCTGGTTTAGGAGGGTTTCCAGATGTCAGAGGGTACCTAGCTACCTCCCCTCCCCAAAAAGACTATTCCTCTGTGGCTTTGGCACAGGAGCCCAGAGAGCTGCCCCTGCCTGTGCCCAATCCACACCCCGCCCCTGCCCACTATGCCACCTACCTGACCCAGGGGATGCAGATCTCAGCAGCCCAAAAGGCAGCACCCTCCAAACCACTTTCTCGCTCCATATCCAAGCTCCGAGCCCTCTCTGGGAATTCGTGTGGTTCTCTGTTCACTCCTTGCTCCCCTACCCATCTGGGCACAGGCCTTCCCTCCACCACATGCCCACCTCTTCTGGGGCCCTGAATCCTCCACACAAGCCCATCCATGCCCCATAACCAGAGCTGCTCACCATCCACGCCTCCCAGTGCTGTTGTTGGTGCTGCAGGAAGCTGGCTTGGCGGCAGAAGTGGCGGGGGGGGGGGACATTGGGGGCAGCTGAAAGGTCCCTCCCAGGGTGCATGGACATGCCCATGGCCCTCCAGCCAGGCAGCTGTCGGGAAGGCCTTGCCACAGATGTCACAGCAGTGGCGTCGGGGGTCCGTATGGGTTCTGTCATGATTCTTAAGGGGCAGTAGGTTGGGGAGAAGTTTGGGGGTAAAGGAAGCAGGGGTAAAGCCCAGTGCTGTGGGCCTTCTGGTGGTTCAGCAGGCTACCAGCATGGCGGTAGGAACGCCCACACTGGGCACAGCGGAAGGGCCACTCCTCGTCTTCAGCCACTGTGGACTTTCCTCCTTGCCCTCTGTTAGCTCTCCCAGCACTCTTTCCTGGGGTTCTGGAGAGTTCTGACAGGGCCCTCTGGGATTTCCCTTGGCCAGGAAGATCCATTTTATCCTCCATAGTCCCAGCTTTGGAACCTGTGGCCTCTTCTACCTGGGGTGGCATCTGACTGAGGCTCCTGGCATGAGTCTGCAGGTGGCTGGCTAGTTCCTGGTGGGACTGAAAGGCCTTTCCACAGTCAGGGCAGGCAAAGGTCTAGGCAGCGGTGTGGCTCTTAGTGGCCACATAATTCAAGAACTTCTTGCAGCAGAGCAGGCAATAGTGGTGGTCTATCTTGTGGGTGTTGTGGTGGTTTAAGAGGCCTTCCAATTGGCAGTTCGTCTTGCCACAATGGCTGCAGGAAAAGGGGTGGCTCTCTGGCTGGAGCTGAGGGCTGGTGTTTCCACTATCCCAGCTATCCACGTGATTCAGACTAGGTCACTGAGCTGGCTGTTGCCAATGTGGCACAGACTCCTGGGAACATTGACTTCTGACTCATCTGGCTTGGTCAGTACCCTCAGGAACCCAACCTTTATGATTCACTGGTCCCCCATCTCCTTGCCACCCACCTACTTTCCCCATGCCCTGGGACACTGACTCTGTGGCTTCTGAACCTGCTGCCCTGATGGGACTCTGACTCTGCTCCCTGGACCTCATGGCTCCATCTTCCAGCTGGGGTACTGACTCAGTACCACCCGATCTGTCCTGTGGTCTCTGATCATTAACCAGGTACCCCTCACTGCCCTCAGGGCCTCCCTGACTACTTTCAGTCTCCTCATGGTCTCTCAGGTGCCGCTCCAGAGATCCCTGGCCAGGGAAGCCCTGGCCACAGAGGGCACAGCACAGAGCTGCCTGCCAGGATCGCCCTGCTCGCCACTTGTGGCTCTCTGAGTGCAGCCTCTGGTGGTCCTTTAGAATGATGTGGTTGGAGTAGGTCTTAGGCCAGGTTGGACAGCTGTATTGGCCTGTCTCATGGCTGCGTCGGTGGTTCAGAAGGCTGCCTACGTGGCGGTAAGTCCGCTCACACTGCCCACACCGGAAGGGCCGATCTTCCCGGGTCAGCTTTCGGGTGCCCCCACCCCCACCCCGCTCAGCATGGACCCGCTGGTGGCTGGTCAGCTGTTTCCGCAGGCGGAAGGCCTTGCCACACTCACTGCAGCGAAAGCGTCGGGGATCTGCATGGATACGTCGATGGTTCTTGAGGGACATGAGGTTGGAGAAGTCTTTGGAGCAGGCCTGGCAGCCAAAGTGGCCAATCTGGTGGCTCTGCCGGTGATTGATGAGGCTGCCGGCATGTTTGTACGACCGGCCACATACCTCACAGCTGAAGGGCCGCTCAGAGCTAGCCTCAGTCTGGCAGCCCTTCTCTGCAGTCTCTAACCTTGGCTCCACCTCCTCCCCCTTCACAGGGATCTCCTTCCATACCTCTTCTTTTGTATTTGCCACCTCCTCCAGGGGCTCTGCTTTAAGCTCTGCCTGGAACTTCCCCTCTTCTGACTGCACCAACCCCTCTCCTGCCAGGTTCTGGGGCTTACTGCTGCCTCCTGCCTCTGAGGTGGCACTCCCCTGGGGCTCAGAGCCTCTGCAGCGTGGGTGGTTTCTCAGATGATTACGGTAGGCAGCCAGGTTTGGGTAGCAGCGAGAGCAGACAGGGCAGATGAAGTCTCCGGTCTGGTGGATCTTGCGGTGGTTCACCAGGCTGCCCCCATGGCGATAGGTCTTGCCGCACTGGTTGCAACGGAAGGGGCGGGGCTGAGTCTCCAGAGAACTTTCCCCACCCTGCATACAAAGGGTGTCTACAACCATGGCACCTACACCCACTCCAGACTTTGTGTCTCTACCCTCCCCAGACATAGAGGTCACTGTGCCCTCAAAGACACCATCTGCAGCCATTCTGGTGGCATCACCTCCAAGGTGGCTGGGAGCCTTGTCTGTGGTGTTCCCAGAACTCTGACTTTGGTGGTGACGCTCCAGACTCCCCAGGTCATCATAGGTCTGACCACAGCAACCACAGATGTGTCCATAACCTGCTCCATCTAGCGCCTCCACCTCCCGCTGCAGCTGATTCAGCAGTTCTGCCTCTGATGGCTNGGGTCAAGCAGGTAAGGCTCCCCAAAGTCTCACCTGTGTCTCTCTTCCCAGGTCTTCAAGCAGCTCAGCGTGGTAAGCTCTAGGGATGTGGGGCCTGGGCCTTGGGTCTGGGTTGGGCCTGCGGTGAGGGCAGGACAGAGGCCTGCCATCAGCCTGACCCACCTCTCTCCACAGCATGTGGGCAGCAGGGCCCTGGCCCCCCTGAGCCTCAGGAAGGCAACACAATGCCTGGTGAGTGGCCGTGGCAGGCCAGTGTGAGGAGGCAGGGGTTCCACATCTGCAGCGGGTCCCTGGTGGCGGACACCTGGGTCCTCACTGCTGCCCACTGTTTTGAAAAGTGAGTTATGGCTGGGATCAATCAGTGTTACTGGCCTTGGGGAGGATGGCAATTTGTTCCCAAACCCCACCAGACCAATCCCTTCCCCAGAATAATGGAAGTACCATTTATCGAGACTATGCCATGTGCCAGGTACACATTATCAAGGTAATCTTAACAACCTGTTATAGTAGAAGCCTTACAAATGAGAAAACAGGTTGGAGAAGGAAAGGCTTTGCTTAAAGCCACAGGCCGGTATTTGCCCATCTTTCACCTACCTTGTGCTGTCTCCCATGATGCCATTGTCCTTTCCTTCTTTTGCCCTCTACACCTGGGCCTTGTCCCTCCCTTTCTAGGGTGGCAGTGACAGAACTGAACTCCTGGTCAGTTGTCCTGGGTTCTTTGCAGCATGAGGGGCTGAGCCCAGGGGCTGAGGAGGTGGGGGTGACTGCTCTGCAGCTGCCCAGGGCCTATAACCACTACAGCCAGGGCTCAGACCTGGCCTTGCTACAACTCACCCAGCCCATGGTCCACACACCCCTCTGCTTGCCCCAACCCACCCATCGTTTCCTCTTTGGGACCTCTTGCTGGGCCACTAGCTGGGATCAGAACACTGATGATGTTAAGTACTATCCCAGACTGAAGCCCAGAGATCACTTGCCCAAGCTCACAACTTTGGCTGCCACTGTCCCTGCCCCCAGACCTGTCTCCCTTGCTCCCTGGAGCCCAGACCCTAGTCCCAACCCTCTCTTTTGCCAGCTCCCAGGACCCTAAGGAATCTGCGCCTGCGTCTAATCAGCTGCCCCACTTGTAACTGTCTCTACAACCAGTTGCATCAGCAGCTACTGGCTAGCCCAGCCCAGCCTGGGATGCTGTGTGGGGGCACCCAGCCTGGGGTGCAGGGACCCTGTCAGGTCTGATGGGAGGACAGGGGAAAGAAGCAGAAGGGGAGGGGGCCTAGTCCGGGTCTGGGCACTCAATCCATAGGGATGGGTGGAAGGGCCCCTGTTGGAGGGTGTCTGCCCAAAGCTGAGGCTCAGGCTTCTGTCCTTGACTCTGCTGCCCGGCTCCAGGGAGATTCCGGAGGCCCTGTGCTCTGCCGTGAGCCTGATGGGCAGTGGATTCAGGCTGGGATCATCAGTTTCACAGCAGGCTGTGCCCAGGAAAACACTCCTGTACTGCTGACAGACATGGCTGCTCACAGCTCCTGGCTACAGGCTCGAGCTCAGGAGGCAGCCTTCCTGGCCCAGAGTGCAGAGATCCTGGAGATCAGTGATGAGGACAGCTGTGTAGGTAGGAGCAGGGGGTTGTCAGGAGTGGAATGTGTGAGGATACCCAGGCCTGCCTGAGGACTTCTGGGCAGCAGGTGGAAGCCACAGTGAAGCAAATTTCAGACTGGAATAGAGAATTGATACAGGGCATCCACCCTGCAAGGAGCTATCTAGGCAGCCTTTAAAGCCCCTTTCAGCTCTTAGGATAGGAACAACCCCATTTAGGGCTAAAAGGCACAGATGCTTCAGAATCTTAGGTGTTTCAAGTTTAGGTAAGAAGAGGAATCTCTGAGATCTGGCTAAAAGTTTTTGAGATAAGCAGCAAGTTCCCAAGCAGAGACCTGATGAGATTGGACAAGGCAGGCCTCCTTCAAAATTCTGGCAGGAAAGTGACTAACATGCAAACTGAATGCAAAACAATTCCTGGGACAGAAGCAATCTATGTCTTGATGGTAAGAGAAGCACTAGTAAGCCAGGACATCTGGGACCAGTCCAAGCTCAGAGGGGTGCAAGACAGGTGGGGTAGGATAACAATAAGCTGGGCCACTCCCATGAAGCTGGACCATCAGGGTTAAAAGCTTAGGCCCTGGCTTTTGAATCCCAAGTCAACTACTTACCTGTAGTCACGGAGCTAGAAAGTCACTTAACCTCTCTGGAACTTCAGTTACCTTTGGTAACATGGGTTACCAAAGGCCTTGACATGCAGTGAGCACTCAGTAAGAAGGCAGACGATGTAATCCATGTTTCAGCTTGTGGATCCTTGAGAGGGTCTCCAGGCAGGAGCCCCCTTCCCATGGCCCTGGGATGCCAGGCTGAGGCACTAGGGGAAGCTGGCCTGTGGTGGAGCCCTGGTGTCAGAGGAGGTGGTGCTGACTGCTGCCCACTGCTTCACAGGGTGAGCCCTGGCTCCCTCACCTTTGTGTCCCATCCTTGCTGGCAAACTTGCCACCCAATGCTGTCTCTGCACAGGCGCCAGACCCCAGAGGAATGGAGAATTGGGTTGGGGGCTGGACCAGAGGAGCGGGGCCTAAAGAAACTCATCCTACATGGGGCTTATACGCACCTGGAAGGGGGCTATGATGTGGCCCTCCTACTACTGGCCCAACCCATGACACTGGGCCCCAGCCTCCAGCCCCTGTGCCTGCCTTATGCTGATCACTACTTGCCTGATGGGGAGCATGGCTGGATTCTGGGGCTGGCCCAAGGAGCAGGTATGTAGGACACAGCCGCCAGCAGCTGTCCATTCAGCCTAGAGGATGCTGGGCAACTTAGGTCTTTTCCCTTGCCCTACAGACACCAGCTTCCCTCAGACAGTGCCTGTGACCCTCTTGGAGCCTAGGGCCTGCAGCCGCCTGCATGCAACCCTTGAGAGTGATGGCATCCCCATCCTGCCAGGGATGGTGTGTACCAGTGTTGTGGGTGAGCCACCCCACTGTGAGGTGAGCCCGTCCCCCAAACCTTACCCCACAGACCCCTAGTGTCTTCACCCTACAACTTATGTAAACCTTCTGCCACACTTGGTCTCTGGACCTGCCTATCACCTGAAACTTGGCTTTTCAGCAAAGTGGCTCCCAAAGAGCAAGAGCCTCAACCCAGCCCCTAGCTACTTCTGCCACCTGTAGCTGCCTAGGGGTAATAGAAAGTCATCCAGTGTCACCTAAACCCTGGCAGGGCCTGTCTGGGGCACCACTGGTGTACAAGGTGAGAGGCACATGGTTCTTGGCTGGGCTACACAGCTTTGGAGATGCCTGCCAAGGCCCTACAAGGCCTGCAATCTTCGCAGCCCTCCCCACCTATGAGAACTGGGTCAGCAGCTTGGACTGGCAGTTCTATTTTGCAGAGGAGCCAGAGCCCGAGACTGGAAGCTGCCTGGCCAACATGAGTATGTGACCCTGGGGCCTCCCTGCTGACCCTTCCCTCTCGGTCTATGGAAAGATCTGTTCTGACTGAACTCTGGCTGCCCTGGGTGAGGTGTAGTAGTGGACAGACCCATCTGGATTCAAGTTCTGTTTCTTCATCAATGTGTGACTTGGGGGCAGGCCCCTCAACCTCTTAAAACCATAGCTTTCTCATCTGTCATGGGGGTTAAGTAGCACCTCCCTCCTCTTCCTTGGAGGACAGGGTACAGTTGTAAGAATGAAGCCAACCCCACTCTCCTTCCTCTCCCTGACAGGCAAAACAGGCGGCTGTTGAGAGGTGGCTCTGGGATACTGCAAACAGTGAAGCAATTCCTGCATCACTGCTCCTGCCCCTCTGCCATTCTCCCACCCACACACTATTCCAGGCACTGGAGCAGCCCACCAGCCCAGCAGGTTCAGGGAAAGCACCTGCCCCCACTCCCCACCCTGAAGGACAGGGAGATAGTGCCTGTGGATGCTTCCTCATACCCAGCTCTGCTGCCCAACAAGGACATCCCCAGCTTTCCCTCTTCTTCCCCTCAGATAGAATCACACCAGCCTTGTACTTTGGAAATTTCTTTTTTGGCGGGGAGCAATTTTCCTTTAAAACTTAAATAAATTGTTACAAAATAGACTTTAGAAAATAAGTTACAAATTGTAGCAAAAGGCTCCCCTCCCACAGGCAACAGTCCCACCTGTGGCTCTCTCTGAATCTGCCTCTCCCTGATGTTGGAATCTGGCTGGTGAGGGTGGCCCAGCATCATGGCAGAGCCTGGCACTGGATTTCTTACAGGGCTAGTCACACGGAAGACCATGGTGACAAAGGCTGGGGGAAGGAGGTCCTTCAAGGTCAGGGACATGAGGAACACCTCACCCCCTTCTTAAGCCAGATCTGGGTCCTCCTCATAGGAGAGAAGAACAAGAGATGGGGACGCCAAACTACTCCTGAGCAAAACATGGATATCAAGCCTTTCCCGGCAACCCGCCCCACTACCCAGTGTGGTGATCTTTGGAGACTTGAACTTCAGAGGGGGAAGCTGAGGTCTGCAGGCCATTGGGGTGAAGGGTCCAGAAGTGGGGCTGACGGGGGTGGAGAAAAATGACAAGTCCCGTCTGCCTGCCGCTGGTGCTTTTGGGGCTCCTGGGGAGAGAGAGAGGTCACTGAGGGGGCAAACCCCAGCTTGTCCCCTGCTTCCCCAGCCCTATAGGCCATCTCCCGAGCCCATGGCCCCAGAGGCCTATGTGAGAACTCCAAGTCATTTTCCCAGACCTGGCTAATTGGCTCTTTGCTCATTCCCTAAAGGTCACACAAAATCTTTTATGCAGAAAGCCATCTTGTCAGGTCTCTCAGGAGACTCTCATCCACCACCCCCTCCTTCCCAATCTCTGGTCAAGAGTTCACCATCTCAGGGATACCCACCCTGGTGGCCACTAAATGCAATGGGCCCTGGGAGAAGGGCTACTGATTACAGCAGATACAGGGCACACATCCAGGGCCTGCTGAGGGAACAGGCTGCCCCACTCCTCTGTAGCCTCATCCTCCAGCAGGGCTAGGCAAGGTGACTTTCCATGAAGACTATCCCAATAGAGGCCAGGAAATAGGGGCTAAAGACTGTTGTTGCTATAGTTGGGCCTGGCATCAAAGGAACAATTATGTGTGTCTCAGTTCTCCAGTTAAAGGTGCACTGATGGGCAGCGGGGTATGCAGGTGGAAAAGTTGGTTTGGCTGGGTCCTAAAAGAGATACACAGCAGAGGGAGAAAGGGTTGACTAGAGGGAAGAAGAGACGTGGGGCAATACTGATAGAAAAAGTAGTTTCCAAGAAAAGAGAAGGAAGAACAAGAGAGACAGCACAGGAGAAGAGGGATGGGGAGCTGGGTGCCAACCAGAGACCCAGTTTCCTTGGCCAGGTCAGCAATGAAGCTACAAAACAGTCCAGTCTTGGGGTGCCTCCCATGTCCCAATCCTCATTCTCTGGCTCTCTGCCTACTACAGATAAGAGCAGAACCTAGACCACCTTTTTCTCTGGAAATCATCACTGGCTGGTTTAGGAGGGTTTCCAGATGTCAGAGGGTACCTAGCTACCTCCCCTCCCCAAAAAGACTATTCCTCTGTGGCTTTGGCACAGGAGCCCAGAGAGCTGCCCCTGCCTGTGCCCAATCCACACCCCGCCCCTGCCCACTATGCCACCTACCTGACCCAGGGGATGCAGATCTCAGCAGCCCAAAAGGCAGCACCCTCCAAACCACTTTCTCGCTCCATATCCAAGCTCCGAGCCCTCTCTGGGAATTCGTGTGGTTCTCTGTTCACTCCTTGCTCCCCTACCCATCTGGGCACAGGCCTTCCCTCCACCACATGCCCACCTCTTCTGGGGCCCTGAATCCTCCACACAAGCCCATCCATGCCCCATAACCAGAGCTGCTCACCATCCACGCCTCCCAGTGCTGTTGTTGGTGCTGCAGGAAGCTGGCTTGGCGGCAGAAGTGGCGGGGGGGGGGGACATTGGGGGCAGCTGAAAGGTCCCTCCCAGGGTGCATGGACATGCCCATGGCCCTCCAGCCAGGCAGCTGTCGGGAAGGCCTTGCCACAGATGTCACAGCAGTGGCGTCGGGGGTCCGTATGGGTTCTGTCATGATTCTTAAGGGGCAGTAGGTTGGGGAGAAGTTTGGGGGTAAAGGAAGCAGGGGTAAAGCCCAGTGCTGTGGGCCTTCTGGTGGTTCAGCAGGCTACCAGCATGGCGGTAGGAACGCCCACACTGGGCACAGCGGAAGGGCCACTCCTCGTCTTCAGCCACTGTGGACTTTCCTCCTTGCCCTCTGTTAGCTCTCCCAGCACTCTTTCCTGGGGTTCTGGAGAGTTCTGACAGGGCCCTCTGGGATTTCCCTTGGCCAGGAAGATCCATTTTATCCTCCATAGTCCCAGCTTTGGAACCTGTGGCCTCTTCTACCTGGGGTGGCATCTGACTGAGGCTCCTGGCATGAGTCTGCAGGTGGCTGGCTAGTTCCTGGTGGGACTGAAAGGCCTTTCCACAGTCAGGGCAGGCAAAGGTCTAGGCAGCGGTGTGGCTCTTAGTGGCCACATAATTCAAGAACTTCTTGCAGCAGAGCAGGCAATAGTGGTGGTCTATCTTGTGGGTGTTGTGGTGGTTTAAGAGGCCTTCCAATTGGCAGTTCGTCTTGCCACAATGGCTGCAGGAAAAGGGGTGGCTCTCTGGCTGGAGCTGAGGGCTGGTGTTTCCACTATCCCAGCTATCCACGTGATTCAGACTAGGTCACTGAGCTGGCTGTTGCCAATGTGGCACAGACTCCTGGGAACATTGACTTCTGACTCATCTGGCTTGGTCAGTACCCTCAGGAACCCAACCTTTATGATTCACTGGTCCCCCATCTCCTTGCCACCCACCTACTTTCCCCATGCCCTGGGACACTGACTCTGTGGCTTCTGAACCTGCTGCCCTGATGGGACTCTGACTCTGCTCCCTGGACCTCATGGCTCCATCTTCCAGCTGGGGTACTGACTCAGTACCACCCGATCTGTCCTGTGGTCTCTGATCATTAACCAGGTACCCCTCACTGCCCTCAGGGCCTCCCTGACTACTTTCAGTCTCCTCATGGTCTCTCAGGTGCCGCTCCAGAGATCCCTGGCCAGGGAAGCCCTGGCCACAGAGGGCACAGCACAGAGCTGCCTGCCAGGATCGCCCTGCTCGCCACTTGTGGCTCTCTGAGTGCAGCCTCTGGTGGTCCTTTAGAATGATGTGGTTGGAGTAGGTCTTAGGCCAGGTTGGACAGCTGTATTGGCCTGTCTCATGGCTGCGTCGGTGGTTCAGAAGGCTGCCTACGTGGCGGTAAGTCCGCTCACACTGCCCACACCGGAAGGGCCGATCTTCCCGGGTCAGCTTTCGGGTGCCCCCACCCCCACCCCGCTCAGCATGGACCCGCTGGTGGCTGGTCAGCTGTTTCCGCAGGCGGAAGGCCTTGCCACACTCACTGCAGCGAAAGCGTCGGGGATCTGCATGGATACGTCGATGGTTCTTGAGGGACATGAGGTTGGAGAAGTCTTTGGAGCAGGCCTGGCAGCCAAAGTGGCCAATCTGGTGGCTCTGCCGGTGATTGATGAGGCTGCCGGCATGTTTGTACGACCGGCCACATACCTCACAGCTGAAGGGCCGCTCAGAGCTAGCCTCAGTCTGGCAGCCCTTCTCTGCAGTCTCTAACCTTGGCTCCACCTCCTCCCCCTTCACAGGGATCTCCTTCCATACCTCTTCTTTTGTATTTGCCACCTCCTCCAGGGGCTCTGCTTTAAGCTCTGCCTGGAACTTCCCCTCTTCTGACTGCACCAACCCCTCTCCTGCCAGGTTCTGGGGCTTACTGCTGCCTCCTGCCTCTGAGGTGGCACTCCCCTGGGGCTCAGAGCCTCTGCAGCGTGGGTGGTTTCTCAGATGATTACGGTAGGCAGCCAGGTTTGGGTAGCAGCGAGAGCAGACAGGGCAGATGAAGTCTCCGGTCTGGTGGATCTTGCGGTGGTTCACCAGGCTGCCCCCATGGCGATAGGTCTTGCCGCACTGGTTGCAACGGAAGGGGCGGGGCTGAGTCTCCAGAGAACTTTCCCCACCCTGCATACAAAGGGTGTCTACAACCATGGCACCTACACCCACTCCAGACTTTGTGTCTCTACCCTCCCCAGACATAGAGGTCACTGTGCCCTCAAAGACACCATCTGCAGCCATTCTGGTGGCATCACCTCCAAGGTGGCTGGGAGCCTTGTCTGTGGTGTTCCCAGAACTCTGACTTTGGTGGTGACGCTCCAGACTCCCCAGGTCATCATAGGTCTGACCACAGCAACCACAGATGTGTCCATAACCTGCTCCATCTAGCGCCTCCACCTCCCGCTGCAGCTGATTCAGCAGTTCTGCCTCTGATGGCTGCAGTGTGGGGCTGCGGGTGGAAGCTGCCCCTGTTGCCCCTTCCTGTTCCCCTTCCTCCTCCGAGCCCTCAGTCATGCCAGAGGAGTCATGAGCCTGGTGCCAGTGAAGCCTATAGCCAGCCTTCCCGGGGAAGATCATGCCACAGAGGCAGCAGAGGAAAGGCTGTGCTGAGGCTGCCTCCCCAGGCCCATGGTTCTGAAAGTGGCTGCGTAGGGCAGGCAGAGAGTCAAACTCCTTTGGGCAGAGGGAACACTGATAGATGCCTGGTGGGTGGCAGGGCTGGTGGCTCAGGCCTGTGGCATGGGGAAAAGAATGCCCACAGTCAGGACACATGTATGAGACCTCAGCCTGACAGCCAGTGACGGCTTCACCGGAGTGGGAAGAGGAGCTGAGCTGGCCAGCAGCTGGTTTCTGGTCTTTATCCACCCCAGGGAGGCCATCATCAAAGCGAGTCCCTCTGCTTTCCTCATTGCCTGGGAGGTCAAAGTTGTCAAGGAAACAGGCCTCCTTCTTTTTGAGCCCTTCCTCAGTGGTTCTGCTTGCTTTATCACCCTGGAAACAGGCCTTATGCCTCTCGGGTCCACATTTGTCCCTTTCAACTTCATCCTGCAAAGAGCCCCCTTCACTTTCCAAGTTGCCTTCAGCTCCACTAGGACTTTCCCCTGAAGGGTCTTGAGGACAGTCCAGGCCCTCATTGTCCTCCAATTCCTGGGCCCAGTTCTCTCCTGATGGGCGCTTGGCTTCTCCCACACAACTAGCACCGCCAGCCCGCCTCCAGTACCACCTGCTCCACCGTGGACTGTGGCAGCGCAAATGGTTCTTCATGGCGGCCATGGTGTGGAAGTGCTTGGCACAAGATCCACAGCTGAAGTCCCCAGTCTGATGGGTCTGCCGATGGTTGATAAGGCTGCCTGAATGGCGATAGCTCTTTCCACAGTCTTGGCAGGCAAATGTCCGAGGAGGTGACACCCTCGTCTCTGTCCTGCTGTTTTCCCTTTCCCCATGGGTCTGGCTGTGATGTCCAAGGCTCTCAGGATCTTCAAAGAGCATCCCACACGTGCTACATATCTGTGATGCTGTACTGTCTGCTGCTGGAGGGGAATTAATGGCCTCCTCTTCATGTTCACAACTACATCTTTGTTCTGTATGTGGGGCTGCTTCTGCTCCCACTGAGTTAGGTGGGAGCTCCACTTTGAGGTGGCTGGGGGGACCCTTAACTTCTGGGCCTGTGTTGCAACGAGCAGCCTTGCAATGTACCTGGACATGGTTGCGCAGGGCCATTAGGTTAGGATACTTCCGGGGACACAGTGAGCACTGGTACTCTCCTGTTCTATGGCTGTGCCGGTGGTTCACTAGGCTCCCCCGGTGTCGGTAAGCCCGACCACACTCACTGCACTTATAGGGCCGGTGGTCCAGGGTGGTGGGAATCTCCTTCTCTTTATGGGTAATCTCAGTCAGACACAAGGGAGCTGGTGGCACTGAGGGCTGCTCCTCTTCCCCAGCTCCTTGCCGGGGTCTGTGATGAGCCCGCACATGGTTTTTGAGGGCAGCTGCATTGAACAGCTGCTTGGAACAGATGGAACAGGGGTAGACACCTGTCTGGTGGCTCTTGCGATGGTTGATGAGGCTCCCAGCATGGCGGTAAGTACGGCCACAGTCCCTACAACAGAAAGGCCGGTACTCTTCCAAGCCACTGTCCTCCAGTTCCCCAGAGGTGCTGAGGTTCCCAGAGCCATTCGGTATATGTGTATTAGGGAGTTGGTCTTGGCAGTGCTTATCTGTGTGCCCATTGGTGGTGAGCATCGCTTTCTCTTCCCATAGCCTCTCCTGCCTTTCACCCTCATGGGATTGCTGGTGTTCCAGCAGCTCTCGAGGGAGCCGAAAGGCATGGGGGCAATGGGGACACTGATAAGGCCGATACTGAGCATGGAGTCGGGAGTGGTTCTTCAGAGCCATGAGGTTAGAGAACTCCTTGAAGCAGATAGCACAAGGGTAGATGCCCAGGGTGTGGCTCTGGCGGTGATTGGTGAGGCTCCCAGCATGTTTGTAAGTCTTGCCACATTGAGTACACTTGTACCGCCGTTCCTCCTCAGTTGGAGGGGACTGGGTGGACTCCTGGCCCCCTGTGAAATTCACTACTGATTCAGCCAAATATTGTTCTAAATTGCTAAGGAGGCTGTTGGCTGGGGTGAGGAGCACTGGGGCTCCGGTAGAGTTGGTGGTTGGTCCCAAGCCCTCTGCACGCACCTCAGGATCTGGCTGGCTAACCCAGCCTTCTCTTTGTCTGGTGGGTGGATCTTCCCAAGTATTCAGAGCTACCCTAGGGTCAGGCCCAGACTCACTGCCAGGTGTCTCTTCAGCATGTTTTTTCTCATTTTCCCAGCTTTCCCCAGGGCCAAGCCTCAAGCCCCAGGAGTCAGTGGACACTGTCTCCCCCTGGAGGCATGGAGTGGTTTCCTTGCGGCCAGGGGGCCTGTGCCTGGGGCGGCCCTCAGGAGCATGAGTCTTCATGTGGCCCTTGAGGGCCATGGGATTGGTGAAGTCTTTGCCACAGGTGGTACATGGGAAAAGGCCAGTCTCGTGGGTCCGGCGGTGGTTGACCAAGCTCCCTGGGTGACGGTAGCCCCGTCCACACTGCTGGCAGCGGTAGGGCCGAGGGATACTCTCAGCCTCCCCACTGTCCTGGCTGGAAGACGGATGGAGCAGTTCACAGTGCTGTGACAGTTCCAGAAGGCTAGGAAAATGGCACTGACAGTCAGAACAGCTGAGTGAGGTGGGTGTGTCCTCCATGGGGAAGTATGGCAAAAGCCTGTAAGTTCAGGAAGAGCAGGCAGGTGGCAACATCTTCCCTCTGGTGGTGGGGCCAAGGCCTAGGAAGAGGGGACAGTTGTCAGGAGGAGGCCTGAATTAACTTGGCTCTTGACTCTTATAAGCCACAAGTTCACTAAGGGTCACAGAGAAGTTCCCCAAATAGCAGTGCCCAGGGACCTACTTTTCTACTGGATAGGCCTTTCTGCACACAAGCTCCCCAAATATGGGAGCTCTCCTAGGCCTAACTGATGCCTAGAGGTATACATAGGAAACTAAAGCATAGAGGGATGCAAGCTATCTCTGCACAGATTGATTACCATTTGTCAGACCAACTCCCAAAAGACTCATTGTCCCCTAAACATCTCTTCTCTATAATTCTGAAACAAACAACCTATCTCCTGTGACATCTTAAGAGAAAACCTGAACCTTTTCTAAGACCTTCAGTTAAAGAAGTCCAATCCTCCCTGCCTTACCCCTCAGCAAGAGAATAATAGCCTAGAGGCACTGAAAAAAATAGCATTTTTCTACAGTTGACAGCGGAGGGCCTGAGAGGTGTGGTTAGATGCCCCCCCCTTCAGAGAATCGGCTGGCTTGTTCCTTCACCTCCCCTATTCCTTTCAGGGTCACAAGATCTTCAAGGCTCTGGCCACTTCCTTCACCTACTTCCCCTGAACCCAATCTTTCATCTTGGAAATTCCACCCCATTTCTGGTTGTTCTTCATACCCTTTTTCTTTCCCACACCTCCTCTCCACAATACCCTGACCATCCATTTTTTCTTCTGCCTCCTGTCAATACTGATGTTGACAGCAACACATGCTGAACATTGCCACGTGCTGGGCACTGTTCTAAGTGAGGAATATTCATTGTGTCACTTAATCCTCAAAACAGACTGCAATGCCTGTTATCCCTGTTTACACACAAGTAAACCCACTGACACAGGTAATCTTCATTCTAAAGCCCTTGCTCTCTCCATAGCAGGTTACCGGGCTTCCTACATCACTTTCACCTTCTCTTCTCCACTCCCATGCGATCCCAAGACAACTAACTCCTATTCTAAACCCCCTCACTGAATCTGCTCCTCGAATTCTCCCCCCGCAACGCGTTTTCGCTCGAGTCCCCTCTCCTGATCAATAACCAGTGTGGTCCTCTAGCCTCACTCATCTCCTCGGTCAATATCCTCTTAAGACCCCTACCTCGCAAGGATAGCCCCTTCTTGTTCCCGCCGCGGGTACGTCCTGGGGGACCGCGAACGGGAGCGCGCCTGCGCAGTGGGACCGTCACCCTAACTGCAGCCGCGCGTCCCAAGGGGTGCCTGGTGGGGACTCTCGCTCTCCCACACACACACACACTCCGCCAGGGCTCCTGGGAAGCAGGAGGAGAGGGAAAGAGGGCCATGAGAAGAGGGAGAAGGAGACAGAAGAAAAAGGCCGCAGCTTACATGAGCCGGGAGTCTACCTCAGGCTCCGCGGACACTTCCTATTGTTACTAGATTACAGGAAGTGTCCTAGTCGCAAAAGCTTCCCCACGAAACCTCCTTCTGGAGAACACTTCCTGTCCCGCCTCCAAGCGGCAGTTCTACCCAGGAACACTTTCGGCGCTAAGTGATTCATAGCTAAAACAAGGCTCTGACCCCCCTACGTACGTCAAAGCCCAGTGTTCTCACTAACCTTAGCCACACTTCCGGCAAGAGCCACTAAAACCTTCCCTACGCACATTTGGCTAAGTGCAGGATAAAAATGATTCTGCAGCTCTGGTCTTAGTACTTCAGCGACACTTTTCGTTAGGGTTCCCTGAAAAACTTCCCAAGACAGATGGAGGGAGCGTCGTTCACTTCTCGCTATTAAGGAAAATGTGGAATATAAGCGGACTTGGCTACTACAAAGCTTGAGCATAGCATTCCTGTCCTCCCACCTGCCAGTTCTTGGTGATCTGGCTCCAACCTAGCAATAGCACAGTGTATACCCGTAAATCTGTCCGGGGTCCCCTGTCATTAGCACCCACAGGAACCCCTTGCAAGGTATTTCTCCGCCACCTTTGGCTGAGGGTGCGCCGATAAACTTCCTCCCTAGCCGGGAAAGCTCTCTTTTACTTCCGCTCGCTGGCCCCGCCTCTCATCCCGCCCCTCTCCCCCCCCCCCCGCTGGGTCCTAGTGCCGGCTCCTCCCTGCTAGTGTGCCGGGTTCTGTCGGTGAGTGGATCTGCCGCTGGAGCCACGGAGTCAGCCCAAGTCCGTTCAGGTAGGAAACGCCGGCCTGGAATCCCCAGGGACCATCGAGCGGCCTCAGCACGGACCCAATACGAGCAGGCCTCAGTTTCCCTGTGTGTGCTGAGGGCGGATGGGGCTGGCCGGGCGCGAGCAACGCGGGCGGGGCGAAGGAGTGCGACCCCGGGAGGGCTCAAGCCGACGACAAGCCCAGCGGGTCCTAGAACCCGCCGGCTGCCCTGCGAGACGGCTGCTACGAACGCTTGGGCTTGGCTGGTGCGGCTGCCCGCCTTGCGCAGTGCGGGCCCAGGGGTCCTAGAGAACGCCAAGTTGTGGGCTTTTGTCCCAGGCGCGCTGCCGGCCTGGCGAATTTCCTTGTGCCTGCGGGCCCCCTTCCACGGTTAGGTCCTCGCCGCCACTTCCGCGGTCCTAGCGAACGCCATTTGCAGGCCTTTGTCCTGCGTCCGGTGCCCGGTCCATTCATTTGTTCATTCTTTCATTCTTCGTTCATTCTTTCTTGCCACATTCTCGAGACAGTGTTTTCCCAGGATTTATTCCGAGACGAGTCAGTCCAGGGCCCTGCCCTGCGGGGTTGTCTGTCTGGCGGAGGCACCAACATCTAGACGGTTGCCGGGAGCTAGAAGCGTAGGGTTTTTCCAACTCTCAGCCCCTGCTCAGCACGTCTCGTAGGCTCTAACACCCTTCAGACTCTCACATACCCCAGAGACCCCTATTTTACTGATACGAAAACTGAGACCCATGGACTCTACAGCCTGTGAAGGATTCTGAGGGCATTAGGGAAGCGGGTATTCGAAGGATGCAAGAGAGTTTTTCCCAGGGGAGAAGGCAAGCAAGGGCTCCCGAGGCAGAGGGAGCTGCATGTGGAGATGCATTTAGGTGAGTAAGTTTGAGAATTGTGGCTGGAGCTTAGGTCGCTGTCCAGAGGGGGAACTGCTGCTGGAGCTGAGACTGGTATGGTAGGTTGGGATTTGGCTGTGAGTTGACCAGATTGAAGGCTTTAGGAGATGATGAGCTCTCGTCTCTGCACAGTACCCAAGTTTCCCACCCATCCTCTCACCAGGTTTTTCATGGCCTGTGAGGCCTACTGGTCTACTTGTTTAGACATGGGGAGACTAAGGTGCAGAGAGGGTAAAAATTGGCTTTTTCACCTACTTCCTGCTTGCAGGGTCCTAGCCTAAACTGTCTGGGAATTTGTGCATCCGGTGTTTACAGCCTGTTCAGGCAGTGGACAGCATAGCCCTTCTAAGCCAGTAATGAAGCAAAGACAAGCCTCTCTCACCAGAGCGATGAACCCACTGGGGGACACTTGGGCCTTATTTGTACCTCATGAACTTGAAAAGACAGAGAGATTCAGTCAATAGTTGTTGATGGTCATTCTCACAATTGCCCACTATTGGGGGAGCAAAGGGTATAGACCTGGGTTTCAATTCCATGTCAGTGATTGATTTGTTCAGTTTCTTTTAGAGCACCAGTCATAGTTCTAAGTGTAGAAGATACAGAATAATAAAGATTCCTGGCTTTTTGGTAGCCTAGAGACAGAGAATTAACAACCAAGCTTTAAAGTGTGTTAAGTGCTATCAAAGCACTAATCACGGGACAGAGAAGAAGTTTGGGAGGCAGACCACCAGGCTTTGAATACTGGCTGTGAGCATGACTGGTTACTTCATTTCTGTGTGCCTCAGTATACTTGTCTGTAAAATGGGGGGAAATAGTACTGTTTAACTTAGTCTATGTAGGCAAACTTAACAGAAAACCACAGACTGAGTGGATTAAACAACAGAAATTTACTTCTCATAGTTCTTGAGGTTGGGAAGTCCAACATCAAGATACTGGCCAACTCAGTTCCTGAAGAAGACTTTTTTCCTGGCTTGCATATGTCCGTCTTCTCATTGTGGCCTCACATGACCTTTCCTCTGTTCATGAGTGCATTTGATCCTTAAAAAAAGGCTTAGCTTGAGTACTACATATAAATGCTTAGAATGGTACCTGGCCTACAGTAAGCTTGAAGGGAATGTGATCTAGATAAGCACCATAAAGAAAATAAAAAGTTAGGGGGATAGAGAGTGATTAGCAAGAATGCAGAGATTATTAAGAAAAGTGGTTAGGAAAGCCTTCTTTGAGGAGGTGCCAGAACACTTAGATTCAGATGAAATAAAAAAGACAGCTACACAAAAATCCTTGGGGAATAGTGGTGCTGGCAGAGGGTCCCTGAAGTGGAAAGGAATTGAGCTCTTTGGGGAAGGGAGACTCAATGAGTGGAGCCTAGTGAGTTAGGAAAGCAGAGTGGAAGGTGAATAGGCATGAGTTAGATCTGCCAGGGACTTGCTGGCCCTTGAAAAGATAATTGATCTTTGTCCTAGGAGCAGTGGAAAGTCTTATGATTTGTCTAATAAACCTTAAGTGAATGAAGACTGGTAGAGAAAGAGCCCAGCCCAGGGCCTTGAAGACTTGAGTTTGAGTCTAGGCTCCTTGACTAGCTATGGGTCCTTGTGCAAGTTTTTTCTGTAATGGGGGCCTTAATCTCCATATTTGAAAAAGAGGCAGTAAAAATGCATCTCTCTTGGAAGCTTGTGATATGTTTTTGGTTAAGTGTTGAGTTTTGGTTAGAATGACCCAGAGAGTAGTATTTAAAGTACAGGTTTCTGAGTCCTGCCTCACATTCTCTGGATGATTATTCTCATGCAGGGGGTTCACAGACCTGACTTGGAGAAACTCTAGGGAGTGATGGGTGGCAGAGTCCTCGGTGAACAGTGAAGTGAGAGGTATTTTAGACAGAGGCCAAGCCTACCTGGCCTTCCGCTGTTCATGGAGCTGAGTGCCTGCTGGGACCAACATTTTCCTCAGTAAGTGCCTTAGGAGGAGAGATATACCCCTCCAGCTATCTGGTTTCTGGTTCACAGGAAGACTGAAGCCCAGAACTCAGACCCATGGGTCCAGCCTTCTGAGAGGTGCTGGCTCTCACTTTAAGGCAGAGGTTCTACAGGGATGAAAGAAGACAAAAGTGTGATTTGAACTCAGGGTTCCAGTCCCTGTGAGGCTGGCTCAGGCAGCAGACAAGTCTGAGAGGGCCCAGATGACCGAGCAAGGGCCCAACAACTCAAGTCAAGTTAAATTCAAGTCTCAGTTGTGAGTTGCTAGCTATGTTACCATGGGCTGGTCACTAAACCTATTGGAACCTCGGTTCATCTCATTCATTAAATGATCCTATTTCAGGAAGCTAAGAGAGAATTAAATAAGGAAGCACATCCAGCAAAGTGTCTGACTCTGAGAAGACTCAGTAATTGAGGGCAGTAATTATTCTTATCTCATTCAATCCTTACCTAACCCTGTGAGATAAGTGCTCTAATTACCTCCATTATCCAGATGAGAAAACTGAAGTCTTTTGGAATGAAGTAAATATAAATAATACAGAGCAAGGAAGTAAGGAAGGCAGCTTGGCTTCAGAGGCAGTACACTTAACCATAATGCTGTATTTATATTGTGTCTCTGGGCCTCAGTTCCTTATCATGTGAAGAAGAATCATAACAGAACTTTTCTCATGGTGTCAACATGAAGTTTAAGTGGGTTACATGTGAAGAGCTTAGGTTACTGCTTGTTATTTAGCAAGTGCTCAGTAAATGTGACCTATCATGATTAAGGAGAAACTGTCAGTCGGACTGTTCAGAGATGGTCCGGAAGGGAGGTAGTGACTGCCCCATTTAGAGATAGGAAGGGATCCCCACAGTCTCCCATACCCAGAGGAACGGAATTCAAACCATGCAGAACATTGGGCCTTGGACACTTACTTTCCATCCCTGATTTAGTGGGAAGAATGGGAAAACCAAGCTGAGGGTGGAACAAGGTTGTGTAAGGTTGGGGCCAAAAACCAAAGGGGAGATGCAGGACGAGCTTCCTGGGGAAATGGGTCTCAAAGGAAGGATTCGTAGGATTTGTAACAGCCAGGAAAGACCTTGGAAACTTGCGTGGTGTAATGGAAGCCATGGAAAGTTCTTGAGCAGGGGACAGGGCATCACATAGTACTTTAGGAGAAGACTCCAGCTGCCTTTGCACACTACAGTTATGCATGTAGGAGTTGGGGACTGAGGCAAGGCCACCAGATAACTCCAGAGTTCTGACTCTAAAGATGCATCCCTTGCCACTCACCCCAGGGGCTCCTGTGACCTCTCTGGGTCATAACTTAGAAGGCACCAATCCCTGAGGTACACAAATGAGGAAACAGGCCTAGAAAGGAGCACTAGAATTCAGGCCTCCTACCTCCCAACCTAGCTTCTGGCACATCTGGCTCCTTTCCCTTTTCACAGCAGTGTCCCTTCCCCCACCCCAGCTGCCCACAGCAGCTTCTGCTGAACACCCCTTAAATGGATCTGTCATAATCTTCTTCTCATCATCCCCCAAGGAGGATGAGCTGGTGTTAAAACTAATGCAGCCATTAATCCTATTTTCTCTCAGCCATGTACCCCAGGAGCAGTTGGGCAGAGGGTATCTGGATTATAAACTGAGAAAGAAGAGGCCTCTGCTAGAGCAAGTGTCCCAGGAGGCAAAGGCTAGATCAGATACATTAATTATGACTCAGAGGCTCCTAGCAATGGCTGCCAGCAATGCCTAAAGCTGCCTTGAGAGTAACCATTACCAGAGCTATAGAAGCAGGAGCCCAACAGTGATTCCAGAGCAGAAGGTAGACCAGTATTCCAGTCTTGGGTGGAGGCCCTTACAGCTGTGTGAACAGAATTCTGTTTGAACAGATGCTGCTTCTGAAAGCTTCTGGTTGATTTTCTACTGAATTAAACCAGAAGGAAAAGATACACACGCTGGGGTCCTATCACTTCTAGACAAACAGTGCCAAAACCACATTTAGCTCACTGGTTCCACCCTCTTCTGGACCTACCTCTGTCTTCCCTGGGTACTCAGAGACCTTCAGGTCAGAGCCACATCTGGGTCACAGCCTCTGTGTCCTGGCACAGGCCTTGGACGCTGAGCTGAAGGAAGGTGGTGAAATAGATGGAATCTGGATCTTCTGGGAATGTTACAGGGTTTGGAAAAGCCAAGGCTGGGGAGGGAAGTACAGGTGGATAGTTTGATGACCCTAGCCTCTTACCTTAGCTCCACTGAAGTCAGGTCCAATTCATCGATGAAGCTTAGAGAGGAGGCCTGAGCACAGAGTATCAGAGCCATGAATATTTGTAAGGAAGGATGTGTTGGTGAGGGTGAGAAATGCAAATAAGATAGTGCTCCCCTCTGGGGCTTCACAAGGGCTTTGTTGAGGAGAGATGTGTTGGAGAATGGTAGAGGGATGTGGCTTCTGTCTACTTCTCTTGCAGAAAAGCCCTGTCCATCAAGGCCATGGAGGTGGAGTCTGCGGAGGCCCGGTCCCCAGGCCCTGGCTACAAGCGCTCTGGTCGCCGCTACAAGTGCCTGTCCTGTACCAAGACGTTTCCAAATGCACCCAGGGCAGCGCGCCATGCTGCCACACATGGGCCTGTAGACTCTGCAGAGGAGGTGTCTGAGGTGAAGCTGAAGCCGGAGGCAGAACCCAAAACAGAGGATGCCAGTGGGGACAAGATGTCAGGTACAACGGCTAAGCCTCGGCCCTATGCATGCCCGTTGTGCCCCAAGGCCTACAAAACGGCACCCGAGCTGCGCAGTCACGGACGCAGCCATACGGGCGAGAAGCCTTTCCCATGCCCCGAGTGCGGCCGCCGCTTCATGCAGCCCGTGTGCCTGCGTGTGCACCTAGCCTCGCACGCTGGCGAGCTGCCCTTCCGCTGCACCCACTGCCCCAAGGCCTATGGTGCGCTCTCCAAGCTCAAAATTCACCAGCGGGGTCACACTGGCGAGCGGCCCTATGCCTGCGCAGACTGCGGCAAGAGCTTCGCTGACCCTTCCGTGTTCCGCAAGCACCGGCGCACACATGCTGGCCTGCGGCCCTACGGCTGCGAGCGCTGCGGCAAGGCCTACGCCGAGCTCAAGGACCTGCGTAACCACGAGCGGTGAGTGCCTGTGCTGGGGCCAGGGCACCTGGCGGCTGGGAAAGCGCAGGCAGTGCAGGCTAGGGTGGCTGGGCTCATCTGCATTAGGGTGGAGCCCTGGGTGGGGGAGGCATCTGCATTAGAGTGGTGCCCTGGAGAATGCATGTGGGGGTGTGACTGGCCCTGACGCCTGGAGAGCGGGGAAGGGGATAGGCTGGAAGCTGAGCCAGAGGATCTCTGTGGAACCCAGAAGGTATGAGTGGGACCTGGTCTTTGGTATGCAGAGGGACCTGAACGTTTCTAATACGGGGGTGCAGCCCTGTGGCCCTTAGGGATGTGAGAGGATCTCCAACCTACGGTACAGACAGGCAGCGGGCTCAGGTGATAGACCTGCCACCTTCACTCCGAGCCCCCACATTCCCACAGGTCCCACACCGGCGAGCGCCCCTTTCTCTGCTCGGAGTGCGGGAAGAGCTTCTCCCGCTCGTCCTCACTCACGTGCCACCAGCGCATCCATGCGGCTCAGAAGCCCTATCGCTGCCCTGCCTGTGGCAAAGGCTTCACGCAGCTCAGCTCCTACCAGAGCCACGAACGCACTCACTCCGGCGAGAAGCCCTTCCTATGCCCACGCTGCGGCCGCATGTTCTCCGACCCCTCAAGCTTCCGGCGCCACCAGCGGGCCCACGAGGGCGTGAAGCCTTACCGTTGCGAGAAGTGCGGCAAAGACTTCCGGCAGCCGGCTGACCTGGCCATGCACCGGCGGGTGCACACAGGCGACCGGCCGTTCAAGTGCCTGCAGTGTGACAAGACGTTTGTGGCGTCCTGGGACCTCAAGCGCCACGCGTTGGTGCACTCGGGCCAGCGGCCTTTCCGCTGTGAGGAGTGTGGACGAGCCTTCGCCGAGCGAGCCAGTCTCACTAAGCACAGCCGGGTGCATTCGGGTGAGCGGCCCTTCCACTGTAATGCCTGTGGGAAGTCCTTTGTGGTCTCGTCAAGCCTGAGGAAGCATGAGCGGACCCACCGAAGTAGTGAGGCCACAGGAGCTCCCCCGCAACAGGAGCTGGTAGTGGGACTGGCACTGCCTGTCAGCGTGGCAGGCGAGGGCTCAGTGGCCCCGGCAGCAGGTGCAGGGCTAGGGGACACTCCAGCAGGGCTGCTTGGGCTACCCCCGGCATCAGGTGGTGTAATGGCCACCCAATGGCAGGTGGTGGGCATGACGGTGGAGCATGTGGAGTGCCAAGATGCTGGGGTTGGAGAGGCTCCTGGTCCCTTGGAAGGGACTGGCGAGGCAGGGGGTGAAGAGGTTGACGAGAAGCCACCACAGTTTGTGTGCCGGGAGTGCAAGGAGACCTTCTCTACGCTGACATTACTGCGACGGCACGAGCGTTCACACCCAGAGCTCCGGCCCTTTCCCTGCACCCAGTGCGGTAAGGGCTTCTCAGACAGAGCTGGGCTGCGGAAGCACGGTCGCACCCACAGCTCTGTGCGCCCCTACACCTGCCCTCACTGTCCCAAAGCCTTCTTGAGTGCCAGCGACCTGCGCAAGCATGAGCGCATTCACCCTGTGCCCACTGGGAGCCCCACACGTCTTGAGCCCCTTGTGGCTTTGCTAGGAATGCCTGAGGAGGGGCCAGCCTGAGGCCCATGCCCCCTCAGCCGCGCTCCCAGGAGCCCAGCCCTCACAAGTCGTCTCCTAAACCTCCTTTTGCCCAGCTTACTCTGTAGACTCCAGATCCCTGCCCCCCATGCAGCTAGTTCACTTTCCTAACAAAGAGAGCTAGGGACAGTGGAGGCTGGCAGCAGCTGCTGAGAGACGTGGCTCCTCTGAGCAATACTCATTAAAGCATTCACTTTGACATTGGGTTGCCTTCTGTGTTCTGGCTTGGGGGTAAGGGAGTTGGAGTTGGGGTGTCCGATAAGGTTCAGTGGAGACCCCTGGACTGGCAGATTAGAAACTATAACAGCCTTTGTGTTCATTGTTTCTGGAAGTGTTTGAAGAATATCTTGTAACAAAGGGTTCTACAGTCTAGTAAGTACAGGAAATTCCGTACGTCCTTCTTGGGCATTCTTGATAATCAAAAGTGTTAATCAAAAGTGTATTAAAGTCATTGATAAGTTCTACAATGAACAAATCTATTTAGCTTTGTTTAGCTTATAGTTATTTGACCTTGGAAATCTTTTAAGTACTGAGTAGTTCTATCCTTTTACAGATAATAAATTGAAGCCCAAAATTAGTGTATTTCCTATATACAGTAACAGATTAGAAAATAAACTTGGGGGTGGGGGGAGAGTCCCACTCCTAATAACAACAAAACCCATAAATTACAAAGAAATAAACCTTAAAAGAAACATGGAAGACGTACATGAAGAAAATGATACCTGTCCTGAAGGTTGTAAGACCTAACCCAATGGAGACATAAACCATGTACCTGAATGGAAAGACATTATTAAAAGATGTTGATTCTCCCTAGTGTAATCCTTGAGTTCATTGCCACCAAAAAGGATTTTCTTAAACCTTGAAAACCCAAAGTTCTTATGCAATACTTTCTTTTTTTAAACAGTGGAAGTGATGTATTTGACATACTAAATAAACACCACAGCACAATAAACACTACAGCACAGGAGTAAAAACAGGATATTATTGGCACAGGAATAAATTAATTGATGGAGTAGGGAAGAAGGTTTAGAGACAACCCTGACTATTTCTGGGAATTTATGATAAATGTGATTATTCAAATCAGTGGGAAAAAGGTTAGGCTGTTAAATAACTTTATAGATATATCCATACTTGAGAAAGCTACAGAACTTGTGAGTAATTTTTCAGTGACCAAAAGATAAAAAGAGGCCCTACATTTAGTATAAATTGGTACCAGCCTCTTGGGGAAGATGATTTCATCATGTTTATCAAAAAAATGACATCCTTTAACTTGGCAAGTACATCTCAAAGAATTTACACCACAGATTTCTTTTTCCAATTCCATGGCAAGATTAAAGATAAAAAATGTTCAGTGAGGCAAAATTTGTGATAATGTAACACCCTAAATGTCCATTACAAAAGACTAATAATTCCCAGGAATGTGTTGTTCTAATATGTCTGATTTTTCTCAAACTATTCAAATTCAGTTAGACAATATCCATCATATCATTGATAAGTTTTCACAAATGCCTAGGGTGCCTAACTGGTTTTTTGGTTTCACTGGAGATGGCTGGTAATTGTAGGTCTGCTTTGGTTATGTAGCTGTATTCCTATTATGTTAATGTGTGTACGCAATTTAATTAGTAGTTTAAAACCTATACATGCTTATGTTACTCTACAAGAAGATATGTCAAAGAAATAATCAATCTTCCCATGTTTTCTTCCATCTGCTACTTCTATAGCTTTTCTTCTTCCTTCCTAATTACAACCCTTAAGTAGAATTCGTGCCTCATAACGAAATTACCNCTCACTTACCAACTTTACATTTCCCTGTATGGCCCCGGAAGATGACTGGTTAGCCAGAGACGGGTAAGATTCCTCAAGGGAGGAACAACCTAAGACAGGCACAGTCGCAGGGGGGCCATCAGGTGAGAATTTGGGGATCAACAGAGGTGAGGCTCAGAACCTCACCCCCCCTGCTTTGAGAGAAATCTTCTGCATCCGTGGATGTCTTGCTGCCCTTGTCTAGCCTGGATTAATACTTAGTCCATAGGCACACACCTGATCATCTGATCATCTACATTTGCCCTCTTACAGCACTAAACTATGTTTTCTACCTTTATCTTGCATCTACCTACCACTTCAGCATTTTATTAAAAATAATAATAATAATAAGGGAGAAATGTGGGATTCACATATAAATCAAGTATAAAAATCAAACGAATATTCATATTTGACCTGATAGTTTATAGTTCATAGTGCGTGATCAAAACTGAAAGTTTCTGTGATGACTGCCCTTGCACTGTTCACCATGTAAGAACTTATTCACTATGTAAGAATTTGTTCACCATGTAAGAACTTGTTCGTTATGCTTCAGAAGATTGGAGACTGTTGAGAACTAGGCTTGGGGTTGATTAGTGACTGTGCATTGAGTCCCCTATACAGAATTTTATTGTTGTTAACAACCATTTGATCAATAAATATGAGAGATGCCCTCTAAAAAAAAAAAAAAAGACTAATAAGGCTAGCCACTTTAAAATATCTTATGAAGCTGTTTTTTTAAAAAATCAGGCTTATCAATCTATGCTGTTGAAAGTAGCTAAAAAATATGTCAAGTGTGAAAACCAAGATGCAAAGCAGTGTGGTTAGTATGCTCCCATTTGGACCTAATTACCCGTAAATGCTCAAATTCCTAGAGACTGTTTCTAGAAGGCTACTCAAGAACTGATTCTGGTTTATAAATTCCAGTCACTAGGGCCTTAAGCATTTATAAACTGAAACAAAGCCAAAGGTCAGAGTAAAGCTGATCCTTCTTTTCATGCTCGTATCTTTTCTAGACTTGGGGGCCACCAATTTGGCAGCCTTGAGAAGTGACAAGAGTGCAGCTTATCTCCAGGCCCACATGCCAGTGATGGGGCACTTGGCAGCAGTTGGCCTTTGCCTAGGACAGTTATACCTGGTAGCAGCAGGAACAGAAGTAGCAGGTATCCCCCTGATGTTAGGAACCTCACTCAGTGTTGTCATGTTCAGGCCCTCATTCCACTTCTCCATAGCAGAATAAGGGGCCAATGTGCCATGACTGCAGGAAGAGGGCACCAGTTTGGCCAGGGACATTCACTATCCATACCCATACCCAGAACAAGACAAGCACTGACTCCAGGCCTCCTGCTTGCCCAGGCTGGGACCAAAAGTCTAAAGGGCGGCTCCAGCAAAGAATCAGAGACTGGACTGGAGGATTAGAAGCAGGGGAACTTTGGTTACTACCAACTTGCTTTGTGACCTTGAGCAAGATGATTCCTCTGGTATGAGGAGGGACCTTTTTAAAATTGGTTCAAAGATACCATATACGCTAATAACAGATACCACTGGGGATCCATCTGCAGTGAAGAACGAGTGGGTCCTCTGGATGTTCAGAAGGTAACCCCAACCTCTGCTCCCTTTCTGGGCCCAAACAACCTACCCATCTCTTGGTCCCCCTTTTCTGACACCCTGGTTCCTGCTCTCTGAGGACTCAGTCTAACTTGAAAAAATTATTTTAACAGCTTTGTGAAGATGTAAATCACATGCCATAAAATTAACCCATTAGAAGTGTACAGTTCAGGGTTTTTTAGTATATTCACAGGGTTATACAAACATCACAATCTAATTTTAGAAATATTTTCATCCCCCTAAAACTCCATACCCCTCAGCTCTCACTCCCTATCACCTCCAACCCCAACTCTTTTCCCTCAGCCTTAGTCAATCACTCACCTACTTTCTATGTCTCTGGATTTGCCTAAAATGGACATTTCATGTAAATAGAATCATACTATATGTGGTCTTTTGTAACTGGCTTCTTTTATTTAGCATAATGTTCTCAAGGTTTATCCATGTTGTAGCACATATTTCATTCCTTTTTAATGTCAGTTAAAATTCCAATGTATGGATATGCCACTTTAAAAAAATCTATCTGTTAATGGACATTTGGGTTTCCATTGTCTATTGTGAATAATGCTGTTATGAACATACACGTACAATTTTGGGTGGACATATTTTTCAGTTCTCTTGTGTATGTATCTAGGAGTGTAACTGCTGGGTCATTTGGTAACTATGTTTAGCCATTTGAGGAACTGTCAGACTTTTCCAAAGTGGTGTCACCTTTTTGTTACCACCAACAATGTTCCAATTTCTCCATATCTTCACTGATGTTATTATTACCTGTCTTTTTTATTATAGCCATCCTATTGAGTGTGAATTTGTGGTTTAGGTTTGGATTTCCCTTATGGCAAATGATGTTGAACATCTTTTTGTGTGCTTTTTGATCTTGTGTGTATCATCTTTGAGTAAACGTCTATTCAAGTCCTTTGCCCAATTTTTTATTGGGCTGTTTGACATTTTGCTGTTGAGTGGTAAGAGTTCTTTATGTATTCTAGATAAAGGTTCCTTACGACTTGCAAAAACTCTTTTCCACTGTGGGTTGTGCTTTTCTTCCTTAGTGCCCTTTGAAACATAAAAGTTTTTAATTTTGATGATGTCCCATTTATCTTTTTTTTTTCTTTTGTTGCTTGTGTTTGGAGATCCATATTTAAGAAACCATTTCCTAATCCAATGTCATGAAGACTTATGCCTATGTTGTCATCCCCTCCCCATCCAAGAGTTATAACTTAGTTATAAACTTACAAGCTTAAAATTTATAAAGATTTTTATAAGATAAAGCTTTATAGCTAAAAGCTGTCACATTTAGGTCTTTGGTTCATTTTAAGTTAATTTTTGTCTATGGCTTGAGGTAAGAGTCAAATTTAATTCTTTTGCATATGGATATCCAATTGTCTCAACACCATTTGTTGAAAAGACTATTCTTTCTCTATTGAATTGTCTTGACCTTGTTTGAAATAAACTATGTGAATATGAGGGTTTATTTCTGGACTTCCATTTTTATTTTATATGTATACTTTTCTTTATGCCAGTACCACACTGTTTTGCTTACTGTAACTTTGTAGTAAGTTTTAAAATCAGGACCTGTGAGTCTTCCAACTTGTTCTTCTGTTTCAAGATTAGTTTGTTTTCCTGAATCCCTTGCATTTCCATACGAATTTTAGGATCAGCTTGTCAATTTTTGCAAAAAGCAGAGGAAGCTAGTGGGGATTTTGATAGGGATTGTATTGAATCTGTAGATAAATTTCAGGTGTATTGCCATCTTAACAATATTAAATTTGATCCATGTATATGGGATGATTTTTAGTTTATTTAGGTTTTTCATGTCTTTCAACAGTGTTTTATAGTTTTCATTGTATAAATCTTACTCTTCCTTTGTTAAATTTATATCTACATATTTTATTCCTTTTGTTGCTATTTTAAATGGAATTATTTTGTTTCATTTTTGAATTGTTCATTGCTAGTGATAAGAAATACAATAGATTTCTGTACATTATACTTGTATTCTGCAACCTTGCTGAACTAGTTTATTAGCTCTAATAATTTTTGTGTGTGAATTCCTAAGGATTTTCTGTATACAAGATACTTCTTTTCCGATCTGGATGCCTTTTCTTTCTTTTTCTTGCCTAATTGCCTAGGTTAGAACTTTTAGTACAGCGTTAAAGGGAGCAGACATCAGGGAGCTGACATCCTCATCTCATGGGGGACATAACCAGTCTTTCACCATTTAAGTATAATGTTAACTATGAGTTTTTCATAGATGCCCTTTGATAATAAGCAAGAAGTTCCCTTTAATTCCTAGCTTCTTAAGCTTTCTTATTATAATGAAAGTATGTTGGATCTTGTCAAATGTATTTTCTGTGTTTATTGAGATGATCATAATTGTTTCTGTTCTTTATTCTAATATTCTGTATTACATTAATTGATTTTTGGGGTGTTAAACAACTTTGCATTCCAAGATAAATCCCTCTTGCTCATGCTGTATAATCATTTTCATGTATTGCCGGATTTAGATTGCTAGTATTTTGTTGAGGATTTTTACACCTATATTCATAAGACACATTGATCTGTAGTTTTCTTTTCTTGTGATATTTTGTCCAGTTTCCTTATCTGGATAGTGCCCAGATGGTCTGACTTCTGGCCTTCACTTTTCTTTTATTCTGACTTACTTTATCCACTGGTTCTCTACCAGGACTGTCCCAGGTAGTGAATGCATCTTGGGAATGCAAAATCATAGGCCCTGATGCTGGGGCAACAGCTGATATGACCCCTCAGTCTGTACTGTGGACTATAGTCATCATCCCCTCCCCAGCCAAATAACTGGATAAATTAGGGCTCTTCAGAGGAGAATGCTTCAGGACCAGGGCTGAGGCAGAGGTAGGGGAAGGCAGCAGGCTTTGTAGGTGGGGCAGTCATTGTACATTCAACTGAGGAACTGTGGAAACCAGTTCTCAATTACTTACACAGAACCCCTTTCAACAGAAATCCCTCCCACTGGAGCCTGTCTTCCTTTCAATCTCTACACCAGCCCTGACCTCATCTCCTACCTACTCTTTCTACACAGAATGCTCCAGCCATGCTGGCCTTCTGTTTGTTTCTTCCCATTCTTGGCACCTTTGCACTTGCTCTTCCCTAGGGATAGAAAACAGTGCCCTAGATTTGTCCATGATGCTCTTTCTTGTCATTCAAGTCTCAGCGCAAATCTTACTGTATTAGGTTTCTATTGCTGCATAACAAATGACCAAAGATTTAGCATCTTAAAAACAACACCCATTTCTTATCTCATAGTTTACTTTGGATCCTTTACTTAGGGTGTCACAGACTGAAGTCAAGGTCTTGATCAGCCCGGGCTCTTATCTAGAGGCTCTAGCATAGATCCACTTCCAGAATTCATCTAGGTTATTAACAGAATTCAGTTCCATTTGGCCGTAGGATTGAGATCCCCATTTCTTTTCTGGCTGTCAGTCAAAGGTGGTTCTCAGCTTCTAGAGGCCATCTATATTCCCTGGCTGGGGGTCCCTCCAACTTCAAAGCCAGCAATGGCACATTGAGTCTTCCTGCTTCAAATTTCCTGACTTCTGTCTTCCTCTTCTACTGCTAGCTGGAGCAACTTTTCTGCTTCTAAGAGGACATGTGATTACACTGGTCTACCTGAATAACTCAGGATTATCTCCCTATCTTAAGATCAACTGATTAGTAAACTTAATTACATCTGTAAAGCCCCTTTTCCCTTTGTAAGGCAATGTATTCATAGAGATTACAGCATGGAATCTTTAGGGACCATTATTCATTATTAAATGGTATTCATTATTCTCCTTACCCACAGTTCACCCTCTAGCCCTCAAAAATTCATGTCTGTCCCATGTGGAAAACACATCCACTTCCAAGGTCCCTAAAAGTCTCGTCCCATTACAGCATCAAGTCAATCATAGTCCAAAAAAATTTCATCAAACCAAAAGTCCCAAATCTCATGGAAGCAACCTAAGTGGCCATCATTAGATGAATGGATAAAAAATATGTGGTACATATACACAATGGAATATTATTCAGCCATTTAAAAAAAAGAAATCCTACCATTTGCAACAACATGAATGGATCTAGACAGTATTATGCTAAGTGACTAAGCCAGGTGGAGAAAGACAAATACCAGATGATTTCTGTTATTTGTGGAATATAAAAGCAAAGCAAAATGAACAAAACAGCACTAGACTCATAGGTGCTGAGAAATGACTGGTGGTTACCATGGGGGAGGGACTGGGGTGAGGAAGAGGGAGGGGAATAAAGAGGCACAAAAATTCTCAGTCCTAATATAAGTTGGTCATGGGGATAGTAGTATAGCATGGAGAGTATAGCCAAAGATTATATAACATCTTCTTGTGTTGACAGTAACTACACTAGTGGTGGTGAGACTTTAATAATACGGGTGACTGTTGAACCCCTGTGTTGTATACTTAAGATTGTATAAGACCGTATATCAATGGAAGCAACCTAAGTGTCTGTCAATAGATGAATAGATTAAGAAGATGTGGTATATATGCACAATGGAATATTATTCAGCCATAAAAAGAAAACAAATCCTACCATTTGCAACATGGATAGAGCTAGAGAGTATTATGCTCAGTGAAGTAAGCCAGGCGGAGAAAGACAAGTACCAAATGATTTCACTCATTTGTGGAATATAACAACAAAGCAAAACTGAAGGAACAAAACAGCAGCAGACTCACAGAAGAGACTAGCAGTTACCAAAGGGAAGGAGTTGGGGAGGGTGGGTGGGGAGAGAGAAGGGGATTAAGGGGCACTATAATTCGCAATCACAATATAGGTATGTCACTGGGAAGGCAGTAGAGATGGAGAAGACAAGTAATGACTCTATAGCATCTTACTGTGCTGATAGACAGTGACTGCAATGGGGTGGGGGTAGGGGAGTTGATAATATGGGTGAATGTTGAAACCACATTGTCATTATGTGAAACCTTCATAAGATTGTATATCGATACTTTAATTAAAAAATATATATATTCAAAAAAAGATTGCATATCAATGATATAGCAATATAAGATTGTGTATCAATGATATTCAATTTTTAAAAATCTCAAAAGTCCAAAATATCATTATCTAAATCAGATACAGATGAGACTCTGGGTATACTCCATCCTGGAGCACAGTTCCTCCCATCTGTGAACCTATGAAACTAAAGGAACAAGTCATGCACTCCCAACATGCAGTGGTGGGACATACATAGGAGAATAGTTATAGACATTCTGATTCAAAAAGAGGGAAAATGGAAGGTTAAAAGGAGTCACTGATCCTAAGAAATCTCAAAATCTGGCTGAACCAATTCCCTTAGGTACGCAGGCTTAAGAAATAATACTTCATGCCCCTGTTCTGTCCTTGAGCACTCAGTTCTACCCTTTGGATTAGTCACCTTCCCTAAAAAGCCAATCCTGACTACCCATTATACAGTTATCACCAACCCTCGTCATTTTTTGTCACATCATGCTGCTTAGCTTTTTAGTAATACATGTCATGGTTTAGGAATATCTTAGCAATTTCCTTACTTGTTCTCTTCACTAAAATATAAACTCCATGAAAGCAGAGATCTTGCCTGTATTTTCACCTCTATTTTTCCAGAACCTGCCATAATGCCTGGTACATAAGTCTTGCTCAGTAATTATTTTATGAGTAAATGAATGGAGTCAAATATGGAACAGAGTGGTATAGTAAGATGAACAATGGCTCCCTAAATATATCTACATCCTAATTCCTAGAACCTGAGAATATTACTTTATATGGCAAAAAGGACTTTGCAGATGTAATTAAGGATCATAAAATAGGAGATTATCCTGGAGTATTTGGGTGGGCCCAAGGTAATCACAAGGGTCCTCTTAAGAGGGAGATGGGAAGGTCAGAGTCAGAGGTGATGTGATGATGGAAGCTGAGATTGGAATGATGTGCTTTGAAATGGAGGATGGATCCATTAGCAAATGAATGCAGGCATCCATTAGAAGCTGAAAAAAGCAAGCAGTTCCTCCAGAAGGAAGCAGCCCTGCCAACTCCTTGATTTTAGTCCAGTGAAACTGATTTTGGGTTTCTGGTCTCCAGAACTGTAAAAGAATAGATGTGTGTAGCTTTAACCCACTAAGTTTGTAGTAATTTGTGACAGGAGTAATAGGAAACTAATACAGTTGGGATGGGTTAACACTCATAGTGTATGGTTGCAACTGCTGGTGATCCCCCAATATATTTGTTCTTCCAGAGTGAGACTGCTAAGCCTAGGTCTCTAGTTTCCCTAGAACTTTAATCTGGGCAAAAAGTTGCCCAGGGTAAAGATTGTATTTCTCAGCATCCCTTTCAGCTGGATGTGGCCATGTGACTACATTCTGGTCAATAGGATTAGAGCAGAAATTACCTGTACAACTTCTACAATTTAGGGTTAAGGGCAAGCCATTCCCTTCACTTTTCTGTTTCACAAGGGCTAGGCTGTGGAGGTGATGGTGGACCATCTTGGACCAGGTGGATGAGGGCAGTACTCCAGGGATGCAACAGCAACAAGATAAAATAATTAATTTTTTTATTATTCATGGGCCTGATGACTTCATGTAAAAGCCCACCATAATTTGGGCTTTTCTATAGGAGAGAAATAAACTTCTCTCTTGGTTAAGCCCTGGTTAGTTTGGGTTTCTGTTTCATGCAGTTGTACCCATACACAAACTAATACAGAATTTATTTTTATTGTCCATTATGTTGGGACTTCTTGGAAGGGTAGATATCCATACAATTAAGGTAAATTTGGGCTTTAGTTTCTCTTTCTTCCTTTTGAACAATCCCTTTGTAATGGTGCCGTTGTGGTCTTAGGATGTATGTGAGATTGACATTTACTAGATACCATCTAGTTGATGCTAGAAAGTCTGGATGTTTTTCTACTTCACATGAGCAGCTCCCACTTAGTTGCTAAGAGTCAGCAAGAATCATGAAGGCTCACTAGACCTGGAGAGTAAATATCTCTGAATTAGACAGGAGTGGGGAGGTAGGGGGTGGGCAAACTGAGACCTCACAGTATCACCACAGTCATTTTGGCATGCCAATTGTCATGGTGACAGGAAAGGAGAACTGAATAGGGAGCCTCTGCAATATGAGGGAGCTTTTATCAGTCAGCTAAAATCAAGTAATGCTGCTGCAACAACCCCAGATCTTGGTGGCTCACAACAACACATGCGTTTCCCTCACTCACAGTCCATGTCCTCCGTAGGGTAGTGTTCTACATCATCTTCATTCTAGAACCCAGTCTGAAGCAACAACCTCAATCTGGAATTTTCCATCTAAGACATAGAAGAGAAGAAAGTTAGAAGACCCCATTATGGCTCTTAAAGCTTCTTCTTAGAAGTGATATATGTTACTCCTACTCAAATTCCATTGCCTAAAGCAAGCTACTTGCCCAAAGTTGATGTCAGTAGAGTGAGTACATATAATCTCTGTATGGTGGTGCCACATAGGGAGAGTCAATGAATGTTTCTGAACAATTGCAAAATCTTCCCCAGTCTGCCCTCTTGTCACAAATACTACCTTTGTTTATTTTTCCACATGCAAAACAAATGCATTGCCTTCCCAAGGGATACCACCTAAATGCTGCATCTAATCATGGCATCAGGCTCAAGTCCAGGATACCTAATAGTGTGTATATCAGATCCAGAGATGGCTTCTCTTGATCCAGAGGCCTATGAACCAAAATAATAATAATAATAATAAAGTTAGTTCACCTCCTACCCCCAACATATGAAACAGAACAGGGACAGGATGATAGCAGTAAACACTCCCATTCAGAAGGAAGAATGAGAGATACACAGCACTTACTGGTCCACAGCAATTCTAGAATTTTGCTGGCAGATGTTGAGAAGGCCCCCTACCTTTCCCTGGGAGTGCAACTGCTTCCTGGGACTAGTTTCCTAGTTCATTCTTCTCCGTATCCTTGGCTCTGCCCTTAGAATAGCCCACCCTTTTCCATGTATTCTCCTTGGCCACATTGGAGGTTATGCCTTTGTGGTGGAGCAGCTTTCTCAGTCTTCTTCATACCCCTGAAAATTTGGAAGCCCTCAAGGTCATGTTAAGTCTTGAACAATCCTGGTCTTTTAAAAATCCAAGCTAATGGCTGTTTTGTTTTGGTTTTTTTGGTGGGGAAAGTTGCTTATATATTTGATTCCAGTCAATTCTGTGGGCCAACAGACAAACCCACAATTCTTTTCAGATAAGCATCTCTCTTTAGACTTAATTATAGGCAAATGGAGCCTACTAACTCCTCTGGAAGAGTTATGCTCTTAATCTTTTCTCTGAATCATCTTGACTAACTGAAAGGATTTATTAGGAACCATTATGACCAATTCAGAGGTTTTTACAAAAGGCCTGAGAGCCATACACTTGATATGACCCTTACACAAAGGTGAGTTTTAATCACACTTTGTGGTTTAACGGCCTTGTTAGTATATCTTTCACTGATTAAAAATGTGGATCACTTGCATGGAGTTTCTATATTCTCTTCAATTTCAGCTTAAAAACTGGCCAATTATTTTCTGAGTTATCTCTTTCTTTTTTTGTAACTTAATATCGTTAATTTGTTTATTTTTTGTATATTTTGGTTATTGAAGTTATCTCTTTCTTACAGTGACTCATCAAATGTATTCAATAGCAACCAAGGCATGCTACTAATATTCTCTTCCCCCAACTTTCTGCCTAAAGCCCCAAGCTTACATGGACATTATTTATATTTTTAGTTATTTCCAGCTTACAGTTTAACCAGATGCTTTACCACTGCATAGCATACATCACCATCTTTCCAACTTCCAATGATGGTTTCCTCACCAGCCACTGCTCCAAAGTCAATGCCTCATAATGCAGGTTTATTTTTTATTGTAGCAGCACCCTGCTTCTAGGTACTAGTTCTGTAATAGCTGGTTCAGACATATGATGTGGTGTCAGCCAACATCCAAATATCAGTGGCTCACAGCAAGAGAAGTCTATTTCTCACTTAGATTACACACATCATTTTGTAGGTAGGCTGCAGCTCAGTTTCGTATCATCTTAATTCTGGGTTCTAGGCTGAGGAAGTCTTGATCTGGCAATTGCCAGGCTCATGGCAGAAGGAAAAGAGAAGGGAAGCTGCCAAACTACTCACTGGAGCATCAATCTTCTATTTGGAAATGACCATATTCCATTGGTCAAAGCAAGTTATATAGCCAAGCCTATTGTAAATGGAGCGTGAATGTATAACCCTCTTAATGAGGAGTGCAGTAGGAAGGACAGTATATATTTGGAACTACTCTGGTACAGTCTACCACAGGCCTCTGCAGAAATGCCAATCACTGTTTGTCCACTCCTCCTTTATACACACTCTGCTGCATTGCTTTGTACCATGTAACGCCTCACATACATCTTGGTCAAGGATAAAGTCCTGACTCATAGGCAAGTCAATATAGCTTGCCCTAGACCAATGAATGAGGAAATAAGTGGAGAGAGCTGTGCTGGAAAGCTGGGATGCAGGATGGATTTGGAAATCTAACCAAGCCACAAATCTAGTCACAACTAACCAAGACTCTGTTCCCTGAAAGTTGGGCTGAAGGCAGCCAAGCCAGGATATCAATGCAAAACTTGCCCTTACCTCTTCATTCAGGTCAGTTTCCCACAGGAAAGGGGTATACACAAGGGAGCCTGTGCAATCTCCAGTGCATGGGTCCACTTGCTCCATACTTGCCACTCATCTATTCAATAACCTTCCATGGATTTATTAGGAAAATAATAATAATAATTAGCATTCCCAGAATGCTCCCTGGCCCAGAGGAGAAGTTCAAAGTACTGAGACAAGCATCCAAGGCTTCACCTGGCCATCTAGCACCTCTTCCAAGAGGTTCTAGACAGCTTCCCGGGTAAGACAGACAGCTAAGCGGCCTTTCAGGAGTGGCGCTGTCCAGCATAGCCAAGCAGAAGTACCGTGCTGCATAGGGACACCCAGGTGCATAGATGTGGCATGGTCTCTGCAGTTGGATCCCAGTAGGTGCCACAGGTCTTGCAGTTTTACTCTAAAGGCAGAAAGGTGAGGGAGTGCATACAGGCGACCAACAAGAGAAGATTCCACTGGATTCCGCTGACAGGGGGAAGACATGAGAATCAGGGAAGCCCAGACAGAGGCCCCGTGTCCAATTCAGTCTTCTACTAGGACAGGATCCGTGTAGCCCTGCAGTTTCCCCACTGGGTGGACATCCAGATTGTTTGCACACTGCTGAAAATGACAAGGTCTTTCCTGTAGGTGTCTAGAGCTCCACTGGTACACAAGATACATGATCTCCAGCAGGTGAAGGCGTGGGTACCATCCCAGATTTGTGCACCCAGCCACGCCTTCTGATGTCAAGTCCCCAACTCATTGCCTTGCCAGTCTCTCTCAAGCCCCCGGCTTTCCCTTTTTGGAGGTCTGAGAATGCCCCTGTGATCCAATCTCTTCAGGGCGCGATTGCGGACTCTGAGGTCCTGCCCGTCTCTCCTCTCACTGAGGTTTAATACCCGGGTGTTCATTCCCAGGGCGCTCCCCATAGATCAATCCCAATGCTCTTCAGGAGCAACGTTTAGGTCCAGAGGCCATCGTTTCCACGTTGTGACCCGGCTATCACCTCAGCCACGCTCCCTACACTCAGAACCAGTCCTCTCTGCCCAGGCGCAGGCGCTGTGCACCTGTCACTCCAGGGCCACCGGGAGGAGCTGCAGGCGGGTGCCCAACCGCGGATGGAGGCAGAGCAGGCTGGGATCGCCAGTCTTAGGACCCGACCCTGCTCTCTCGCCCCTCCCCCAGGAGCTCCAGCCATGCTGGCCTTCTGTTTGTTTCTTCCCATTCTTGGCACCTTTGCACTTGCTCTTCCCTAGGGATAGAAAACAGTGCCCTAGATTTGTCCATGATGCTCTTTCTTGTCATTCAAGTCTCAGCGCAAATCTTACTGTATTAGGTTTCTATTGCTGCATAACAAATGACCAAAGATTTAGCATCTTAAAAACAACACCCATTTCTTATCTCATAGTTTACTTTGGATCCTTTACTTAGGGTGTCACAGACTGAAGTCAAGGTCTTGATCAGCCCGGGCTCTTATCTAGAGGCTCTAGCATAGATCCACTTCCAGAATTCATCTAGGTTATTAACAGAATTCAGTTCCATTTGGCCGTAGGATTGAGATCCCCATTTCTTTTCTGGCTGTCAGTCAAAGGTGGTTCTCAGCTTCTAGAGGCCATCTATATTCCCTGGCTGGGGGTCCCTCCAACTTCAAAGCCAGCAATGGCACATTGAGTCTTCCTGCTTCAAATTTCCTGACTTCTGTCTTCCTCTTCTACTGCTAGCTGGAGCAACTTTTCTGCTTCTAAGAGGACATGTGATTACACTGGTCTACCTGAATAACTCAGGATTATCTCCCTATCTTAAGATCAACTGATTAGTAAACTTAATTACATCTGTAAAGCCCCTTTTCCCTTTGTAAGGCAATGTATTCATAGAGATTACAGCATGGAATCTTTAGGGACCATTATTCATTATTAAATGGTATTCATTATTCTCCTTACCCACAGTTCACCCTCTAGCCCTCAAAAATTCATGTCTGTCCCATGTGGAAAACACATCCACTTCCAAGGTCCCTAAAAGTCTCGTCCCATTACAGCATCAAGTCAATCATAGTCCAAAAAAATTTCATCAAACCAAAAGTCCCAAATCTCATGGAAGCAACCTAAGTGGCCATCATTAGATGAATGGATAAAAAATATGTGGTACATATACACAATGGAATATTATTCAGCCATTTAAAAAAAAGAAATCCTACCATTTGCAACAACATGAATGGATCTAGACAGTATTATGCTAAGTGACTAAGCCAGGTGGAGAAAGACAAATACCAGATGATTTCTGTTATTTGTGGAATATAAAAGCAAAGCAAAATGAACAAAACAGCACTAGACTCATAGGTGCTGAGAAATGACTGGTGGTTACCATGGGGGAGGGACTGGGGTGAGGAAGAGGGAGGGGAATAAAGAGGCACAAAAATTCTCAGTCCTAATATAAGTTGGTCATGGGGATAGTAGTATAGCATGGAGAGTATAGCCAAAGATTATATAACATCTTCTTGTGTTGACAGTAACTACACTAGTGGTGGTGAGACTTTAATAATACGGGTGACTGTTGAACCCCTGTGTTGTATACTTAAGATTGTATAAGACCGTATATCAATGGAAGCAACCTAAGTGTCTGTCAATAGATGAATAGATTAAGAAGATGTGGTATATATGCACAATGGAATATTATTCAGCCATAAAAAGAAAACAAATCCTACCATTTGCAACATGGATAGAGCTAGAGAGTATTATGCTCAGTGAAGTAAGCCAGGCGGAGAAAGACAAGTACCAAATGATTTCACTCATTTGTGGAATATAACAACAAAGCAAAACTGAAGGAACAAAACAGCAGCAGACTCACAGAAGAGACTAGCAGTTACCAAAGGGAAGGAGTTGGGGAGGGTGGGTGGGGAGAGAGAAGGGGATTAAGGGGCACTATAATTCGCAATCACAATATAGGTATGTCACTGGGAAGGCAGTAGAGATGGAGAAGACAAGTAATGACTCTATAGCATCTTACTGTGCTGATAGACAGTGACTGCAATGGGGTGGGGGTAGGGGAGTTGATAATATGGGTGAATGTTGAAACCACATTGTCATTATGTGAAACCTTCATAAGATTGTATATCGATACTTTAATTAAAAAATATATATATTCAAAAAAAGATTGCATATCAATGATATAGCAATATAAGATTGTGTATCAATGATATTCAATTTTTAAAAATCTCAAAAGTCCAAAATATCATTATCTAAATCAGATACAGATGAGACTCTGGGTATACTCCATCCTGGAGCACAGTTCCTCCCATCTGTGAACCTATGAAACTAAAGGAACAAGTCATGCACTCCCAACATGCAGTGGTGGGACATACATAGGAGAATAGTTATAGACATTCTGATTCAAAAAGAGGGAAAATGGAAGGTTAAAAGGAGTCACTGATCCTAAGAAATCTCAAAATCTGGCTGAACCAATTCCCTTAGGTACGCAGGCTTAAGAAATAATACTTCATGCCCCTGTTCTGTCCTTGAGCACTCAGTTCTACCCTTTGGATTAGTCACCTTCCCTAAAAAGCCAATCCTGACTACCCATTATACAGTTATCACCAACCCTCGTCATTTTTTGTCACATCATGCTGCTTAGCTTTTTAGTAATACATGTCATGGTTTAGGAATATCTTAGCAATTTCCTTACTTGTTCTCTTCACTAAAATATAAACTCCATGAAAGCAGAGATCTTGCCTGTATTTTCACCTCTATTTTTCCAGAACCTGCCATAATGCCTGGTACATAAGTCTTGCTCAGTAATTATTTTATGAGTAAATGAATGGAGTCAAATATGGAACAGAGTGGTATAGTAAGATGAACAATGGCTCCCTAAATATATCTACATCCTAATTCCTAGAACCTGAGAATATTACTTTATATGGCAAAAAGGACTTTGCAGATGTAATTAAGGATCATAAAATAGGAGATTATCCTGGAGTATTTGGGTGGGCCCAAGGTAATCACAAGGGTCCTCTTAAGAGGGAGATGGGAAGGTCAGAGTCAGAGGTGATGTGATGATGGAAGCTGAGATTGGAATGATGTGCTTTGAAATGGAGGATGGATCCATTAGCAAATGAATGCAGGCATCCATTAGAAGCTGAAAAAAGCAAGCAGTTCCTCCAGAAGGAAGCAGCCCTGCCAACTCCTTGATTTTAGTCCAGTGAAACTGATTTTGGGTTTCTGGTCTCCAGAACTGTAAAAGAATAGATGTGTGTAGCTTTAACCCACTAAGTTTGTAGTAATTTGTGACAGGAGTAATAGGAAACTAATACAGTTGGGATGGGTTAACACTCATAGTGTATGGTTGCAACTGCTGGTGATCCCCCAATATATTTGTTCTTCCAGAGTGAGACTGCTAAGCCTAGGTCTCTAGTTTCCCTAGAACTTTAATCTGGGCAAAAAGTTGCCCAGGGTAAAGATTGTATTTCTCAGCATCCCTTTCAGCTGGATGTGGCCATGTGACTACATTCTGGTCAATAGGATTAGAGCAGAAATTACCTGTACAACTTCTACAATTTAGGGTTAAGGGCAAGCCATTCCCTTCACTTTTCTGTTTCACAAGGGCTAGGCTGTGGAGGTGATGGTGGACCATCTTGGACCAGGTGGATGAGGGCAGTACTCCAGGGATGCAACAGCAACAAGATAAAATAATTAATTTTTTTATTATTCATGGGCCTGATGACTTCATGTAAAAGCCCACCATAATTTGGGCTTTTCTATAGGAGAGAAATAAACTTCTCTCTTGGTTAAGCCCTGGTTAGTTTGGGTTTCTGTTTCATGCAGTTGTACCCATACACAAACTAATACAGAATTTATTTTTATTGTCCATTATGTTGGGACTTCTTGGAAGGGTAGATATCCATACAATTAAGGTAAATTTGGGCTTTAGTTTCTCTTTCTTCCTTTTGAACAATCCCTTTGTAATGGTGCCGTTGTGGTCTTAGGATGTATGTGAGATTGACATTTACTAGATACCATCTAGTTGATGCTAGAAAGTCTGGATGTTTTTCTACTTCACATGAGCAGCTCCCACTTAGTTGCTAAGAGTCAGCAAGAATCATGAAGGCTCACTAGACCTGGAGAGTAAATATCTCTGAATTAGACAGGAGTGGGGAGGTAGGGGGTGGGCAAACTGAGACCTCACAGTATCACCACAGTCATTTTGGCATGCCAATTGTCATGGTGACAGGAAAGGAGAACTGAATAGGGAGCCTCTGCAATATGAGGGAGCTTTTATCAGTCAGCTAAAATCAAGTAATGCTGCTGCAACAACCCCAGATCTTGGTGGCTCACAACAACACATGCGTTTCCCTCACTCACAGTCCATGTCCTCCGTAGGGTAGTGTTCTACATCATCTTCATTCTAGAACCCAGTCTGAAGCAACAACCTCAATCTGGAATTTTCCATCTAAGACATAGAAGAGAAGAAAGTTAGAAGACCCCATTATGGCTCTTAAAGCTTCTTCTTAGAAGTGATATATGTTACTCCTACTCAAATTCCATTGCCTAAAGCAAGCTACTTGCCCAAAGTTGATGTCAGTAGAGTGAGTACATATAATCTCTGTATGGTGGTGCCACATAGGGAGAGTCAATGAATGTTTCTGAACAATTGCAAAATCTTCCCCAGTCTGCCCTCTTGTCACAAATACTACCTTTGTTTATTTTTCCACATGCAAAACAAATGCATTGCCTTCCCAAGGGATACCACCTAAATGCTGCATCTAATCATGGCATCAGGCTCAAGTCCAGGATACCTAATAGTGTGTATATCAGATCCAGAGATGGCTTCTCTTGATCCAGAGGCCTATGAACCAAAATAATAATAATAATAATAAAGTTAGTTCACCTCCTACCCCCAACATATGAAACAGAACAGGGACAGGATGATAGCAGTAAACACTCCCATTCAGAAGGAAGAATGAGAGATACACAGCACTTACTGGTCCACAGCAATTCTAGAATTTTGCTGGCAGATGTTGAGAAGGCCCCCTACCTTTCCCTGGGAGTGCAACTGCTTCCTGGGACTAGTTTCCTAGTTCATTCTTCTCCGTATCCTTGGCTCTGCCCTTAGAATAGCCCACCCTTTTCCATGTATTCTCCTTGGCCACATTGGAGGTTATGCCTTTGTGGTGGAGCAGCTTTCTCAGTCTTCTTCATACCCCTGAAAATTTGGAAGCCCTCAAGGTCATGTTAAGTCTTGAACAATCCTGGTCTTTTAAAAATCCAAGCTAATGGCTGTTTTGTTTTGGTTTTTTTGGTGGGGAAAGTTGCTTATATATTTGATTCCAGTCAATTCTGTGGGCCAACAGACAAACCCACAATTCTTTTCAGATAAGCATCTCTCTTTAGACTTAATTATAGGCAAATGGAGCCTACTAACTCCTCTGGAAGAGTTATGCTCTTAATCTTTTCTCTGAATCATCTTGACTAACTGAAAGGATTTATTAGGAACCATTATGACCAATTCAGAGGTTTTTACAAAAGGCCTGAGAGCCATACACTTGATATGACCCTTACACAAAGGTGAGTTTTAATCACACTTTGTGGTTTAACGGCCTTGTTAGTATATCTTTCACTGATTAAAAATGTGGATCACTTGCATGGAGTTTCTATATTCTCTTCAATTTCAGCTTAAAAACTGGCCAATTATTTTCTGAGTTATCTCTTTCTTTTTTTGTAACTTAATATCGTTAATTTGTTTATTTTTTGTATATTTTGGTTATTGAAGTTATCTCTTTCTTACAGTGACTCATCAAATGTATTCAATAGCAACCAAGGCATGCTACTAATATTCTCTTCCCCCAACTTTCTGCCTAAAGCCCCAAGCTTACATGGACATTATTTATATTTTTAGTTATTTCCAGCTTACAGTTTAACCAGATGCTTTACCACTGCATAGCATACATCACCATCTTTCCAACTTCCAATGATGGTTTCCTCACCAGCCACTGCTCCAAAGTCAATGCCTCATAATGCAGGTTTATTTTTTATTGTAGCAGCACCCTGCTTCTAGGTACTAGTTCTGTAATAGCTGGTTCAGACATATGATGTGGTGTCAGCCAACATCCAAATATCAGTGGCTCACAGCAAGAGAAGTCTATTTCTCACTTAGATTACACACATCATTTTGTAGGTAGGCTGCAGCTCAGTTTCGTATCATCTTAATTCTGGGTTCTAGGCTGAGGAAGTCTTGATCTGGCAATTGCCAGGCTCATGGCAGAAGGAAAAGAGAAGGGAAGCTGCCAAACTACTCACTGGAGCATCAATCTTCTATTTGGAAATGACCATATTCCATTGGTCAAAGCAAGTTATATAGCCAAGCCTATTGTAAATGGAGCGTGAATGTATAACCCTCTTAATGAGGAGTGCAGTAGGAAGGACAGTATATATTTGGAACTACTCTGGTACAGTCTACCACAGGCCTCTGCAGAAATGCCAATCACTGTTTGTCCACTCCTCCTTTATACACACTCTGCTGCATTGCTTTGTACCATGTAACGCCTCACATACATCTTGGTCAAGGATAAAGTCCTGACTCATAGGCAAGTCAATATAGCTTGCCCTAGACCAATGAATGAGGAAATAAGTGGAGAGAGCTGTGCTGGAAAGCTGGGATGCAGGATGGATTTGGAAATCTAACCAAGCCACAAATCTAGTCACAACTAACCAAGACTCTGTTCCCTGAAAGTTGGGCTGAAGGCAGCCAAGCCAGGATATCAATGCAAAACTTGCCCTTACCTCTTCATTCAGGTCAGTTTCCCACAGGAAAGGGGTATACACAAGGGAGCCTGTGCAATCTCCAGTGCATGGGTCCACTTGCTCCATACTTGCCACTCATCTATTCAATAACCTTCCATGGATTTATTAGGAAAATAATAATAATAATTAGCATTCCCAGAATGCTCCCTGGCCCAGAGGAGAAGTTCAAAGTACTGAGACAAGCATCCAAGGCTTCACCTGGCCATCTAGCACCTCTTCCAAGAGGTTCTAGACAGCTTCCCGGGTAAGACAGACAGCTAAGCGGCCTTTCAGGAGTGGCGCTGTCCAGCATAGCCAAGCAGAAGTACCGTGCTGCATAGGGACACCCAGGTGCATAGATGTGGCATGGTCTCTGCAGTTGGATCCCAGTAGGTGCCACAGGTCTTGCAGTTTTACTCTAAAGGCAGAAAGGTGAGGGAGTGCATACAGGCGACCAACAAGAGAAGATTCCACTGGATTCCGCTGACAGGGGGAAGACATGAGAATCAGGGAAGCCCAGACAGAGGCCCCGTGTCCAATTCAGTCTTCTACTAGGACAGGATCCGTGTAGCCCTGCAGTTTCCCCACTGGGTGGACATCCAGATTGTTTGCACACTGCTGAAAATGACAAGGTCTTTCCTGTAGGTGTCTAGAGCTCCACTGGTACACAAGATACATGATCTCCAGCAGGTGAAGGCGTGGGTACCATCCCAGATTTGTGCACCCAGCCACGCCTTCTGATGTCAAGTCCCCAACTCATTGCCTTGCCAGTCTCTCTCAAGCCCCCGGCTTTCCCTTTTTGGAGGTCTGAGAATGCCCCTGTGATCCAATCTCTTCAGGGCGCGATTGCGGACTCTGAGGTCCTGCCCGTCTCTCCTCTCACTGAGGTTTAATACCCGGGTGTTCATTCCCAGGGCGCTCCCCATAGATCAATCCCAATGCTCTTCAGGAGCAACGTTTAGGTCCAGAGGCCATCGTTTCCACGTTGTGACCCGGCTATCACCTCAGCCACGCTCCCTACACTCAGAACCAGTCCTCTCTGCCCAGGCGCAGGCGCTGTGCACCTGTCACTCCAGGGCCACCGGGAGGAGCTGCAGGCGGGTGCCCAACCGCGGATGGAGGCAGAGCAGGCTGGGATCGCCAGTCTTAGGACCCGACCCTGCTCTCTCGCCCCTCCCCCAGGCCAGGTCTAGGGGCGGGTCCGAGACTACACTGACAGGACTTCCAGCCCCTCCACAACTCAGGTTACTCTGGCATCCAGTGCGCCCCCACACTTGGCGCCTTAGCAAGCGGTCCTGCGGCCAGACGGGCTGGGCAGCCGGAAACAGCAGCAGCGACAGCAGCAGCAGGGGCCTGTGGGATCGAAAGTGGGATAGGACGGGCGGCTGGAACCCAGTCCCTTACCTGGGTCGGGATTAGGTGCCGAACCACACCCAACCTGGAAGCCAGCTTCGTTAACCCCGAAACCGGTGTCTGGGGACTGGCGCATATGCAGTTCCAGAAACGAAGCATCCAGACTTGGACTCAGAAATTTAGAATCGGGACTTGGAGCTTAGGTGTCTCACAGAAACCAGTGGCCAGGTTCCTCTGCTTCCTTTACCTGCTTAAGCCACGTAACCCCTTGGAAACCAGGTGTGCTGGCTAAGCTGTACTTTTAACTTAGGTAAAAGGCAATTCCATTCTCTGGGCACAGGGCCTGACCTGCTGGTCCCTCCCCTGCTTCTTCTCAGAACTGGTCCTCCTCAACATTGCACGCAAATGTTGTTCCCTCTGAGATAGGCTTTTCCCTGTCCACTGTATCCAGAGTAACAGCCTCAGTCCCTCATGGTTTCTCTTCTTCCTGGGCCTCAGGAATGCCCACTAATGCCACACACATCTCATCTGTGTCTCAGCCTGGCCTGGCCCAGTCTCAGTGCTTTGAGGTTAGGTACTCCTAATGGTCTTTCCCTAGGAAAGTATGGAGCCAGATGTGGGTATTACCTCCCCCCCTCTATGGAGGATAGAATGGCAGTGCCAGCCACTGTGTTCACAGTCTGAGCTGAGCCTGCCTGGCCTCAAGGATGGCCAAGAAGTGGGGAGGCTGAATACCTGGAGGCCCTGGGCCAGCGCTTCTAGGAACACACATGCACAGGGGAGTCTCCAAGATCTCTCTCTTTTTTTTAATTTCTTACAAAACCACATGTCCCAGCCGAACAGGACACTGCAGGCCCTCCCCCAGGCACTGTGGCCCAAGTGGGGAGGCCCCCATGAATGAGTGCTTGCTAACCCCAGAAGAACCATCTTTCCCTCTGCACAGGGCCAGTATGAGGAAGGGGGTCCGGCTGGAAGTTCTATCCTGCCCTCCCCAGCTGCTGGGAGAGAAGGCAGACCCTGGGGTCTCTGGTGCTCTTAGTGCCTGCAAGGGAAGGAGGGAGAAGAGGGTATGAGGGGAGGAGGAAAGTCTGGGAGCATGGGTGGGGCAGGCCAGGGGGTAGCTCCGCAGTATCTCACCAAGAATGTGCGGCGCTATCAAACCAATGTGGAGACACCAATGATGACTGCCACAATGAGGACAGTGACAGACACACAGATGGCAATGAAGATTTTCTTCTGTGGGAGAGTACGGAGTCAGAGAAACTCATTCAGGTGGGGAAGGAGGGCCATCCAGGGCAGGAGAGGGGATAGGAGGGAAGGCTCACCTTCCGTGCCTTCTTCTGGTTCTCCAGGGCCATCTTGACATGTTCCTGCCCACGTTCCACATAGTCTGCTGAGCTCAGGATGTTCTTCTCAATCCGGTTGATCATCTCTCCCTGTTCAGAGAGGGCAGTTCAGGTGGATAGGGATGCTGGGGGCATCTGCTCAACCCAGCCCCAGATAACTGAGGACATTCCTGGCAGAAAACGCTGCACTGACAAAGACACAGGGGAGGACCACATCTGACAAAAGTTCACACTCCTGAAGGTGGCTTCCAGGTCCTCTTCTATCATGCAGTCCCTTCTGCCCTGCTCCCTTGACCCCTACAATCTCTACTGCACTGGTGGCTTAGAACCAAAAGTGGCTCATACCTTTCCACAGAGCATGAACTTTTATTTCCTCACAAATCTGTCTGAATTTGCCCATTCTTCTAGGCCTGTCTCTCAACAGCTGTGAAGCCCTCCCTATCCTTGCCTCCTCATGGCAACTCCAGACTTCAGGAACTGAAACTTCTACTGAATGACATCCCTTCCCCATGACTCCCAGCTGCAAAAGGGCTGCAGCACTAATGGGTGAGCTCCTGCAGGACAGGGCTGGAAGCTTGACTCACCCTAACCACCAGAGCAGGGGAAGAACACCCACCTGCCACCACAACCCGCACCTGTTTGAGGAGGCAGGCCTCCTGGGGGCAACACTGACTGGAACTCTTAGAGGTGTAAGGGTAAATTCTATTGGCAGAGGAGGAGCCAAGGTTGAGGCCATCCCTTGGGTGGGCTCAAGTTGGGGGTGAGGTGGGATGCGATGTGCATAGCTGGGGAGGCCAGTGCAATTCTGGGGCATGGCTGAGGATAGAAGTTAGGGCCATCCTGGGGTCATGGCCCAGTCTGGAGGGGATCAAAAGCCTCACTAGAGAGGATAAGGGTGGAGGTGGGCTGATGGGCACAGCTGGGGTTCTGAGTGAACATGACCTCACATCTGGGGGCTGCCTGGAGGCACCCACCTGCATCTCCACTTCAGTAGCCAGAAAAGTGAAGATCTCATGAAGTTCACGGATGCTGCGTTCAAGCTGCTGGATCTCACTGTGCCTGGCTGAGATCTCGTTTAGGGCCTGTCGAGTCACCTGGGTGTCCTTCAGTATCTGGGGAATGGATAGGACTGATGGGACAAATCACAGGGAAATGACTAGCTCTGGGGCAGCCTTCAGGCCTAGAACTGGGGCCAGGGCTCATTCATTCTTCCTGGGCCTCAGTATTCCCTCAAGTGAAAAGGGCCAGGGCTCAGAAAGGATGAGAGGCCCAGTAGAGGGAGGCTGGCTGTGCTGGCTGTGACCACTCACATTGGACACAAACACCTCACTCTGCCCGCTGTCCAGCATCTGCTCCAGCTCCTCATCAGATACCATTCCAGCATTTGCTGTGAAGGAAAAGGCCAGACTCAGAGCTGGGTCAGGTTACCTGACCCTGGGCCAAGCACCACAACTCACTGATCTTTAGTTGCCTCCGAATCCGCTCCACATTCTTCTCCCGGTATTCAGACTGCATCAAGTTGCACTTGTTGATGAGCTCCACGAATTGCTGGGATAGGACACCATGCTAAGGATGGAGAATATAGGCTGGGAACCCCTGGGAGGATTCCTGCCCAGACTGGGCCTCAGATAAGCAAATAGCCTGAGCTGATATAGGTGGCTGCCACCTTAACCACCTTGAGAGGCTCCCCTATTCTTTCAAAAGAAAAGCCAAAGCGCTTACCAGAGCCTACAAGGCCTTCCCATACTTCCCTCTGACCTTACCTGCTCCCACTCTTCTCTCCCTCCCTCCCTCCAACCACAGTGGGCTCCTTATTCCTAAACAAAGCACATGCCCACCTCAGGCCCTTCCACTCACTGTTCCCTTGCTGGAGAATGCCCATGCCTCACAAAGGCCTTTAAGTCTTTGTTCCATTGTCACCTTCTCAATGAAGTTTTCTCCACCTTATTGAAATTGCAACCTGCCTTCTAGCATTCTCCATCCCTCTTTTTCTGCTCTTTTTTTCTTAATACTTAACTATGTTCTAAAATAACTTATTTATTATGGTGATTGTCTCTCCCCACCAGAATGTAAGCTCCATGAGGATAGGGATCTGTACCCCAAACAGCTAGAAAGGGTCTGCACACAGTAGGCACTCAATAAATACTTCTTGAATATTTGCTGAACATCAGCCTCACTGCTCAGACTAGAGGTGTGCTAGTTTACCTAGAGGTCATCCTGCTGCCCAGATTCTATAGGTCCAGCTGGGTCCTCAGCCTCTCACACCGATGACCACCACAGTTTCCCTCTGAAATGCCCTCTCACCTCATCCATTCCCCTGACACCTTAAATGGATTCATTTCTTGGAGTTCCTTCCTCAGGCATACATCTGCTTTCCTGGCTTCAGCAGCACCCTTTCAAAATGCCCAAAATGCTCCATCTTCACTCTGGGGTCCTTGCTGAGCTCTGGGTCCACCTATTCCAACTCTGACCTCCAAGAATGCCAAACCACTTCTCACTGGGCAGCCAGAGGGAGCTGGTCAGATCACCTCAACTCTCCTTACTAAGATGTTAATTCAGTGACCTTCCCCACCCAGGGAAGTTCCTCTTCCTGATTTCATGAATTCTGACTATGGGGCAGAGGATGTCTTTGTCACATGAGCAGGATACCTCCCAGTCATTTATGACTGCTCTCTCTTTTTTCCCTGGGCAGAGCTATTAGCTATTAAGTCCTACCTGAGAAATGTCTTTTCCACTCTTTCAAGCTTAATCCACATCTTGGCTCTTAGAAAGCATGTTCCCACAGCTGAGCCTAAGTCATATCTGGGGACTCAGCAACTTCTCATTGAATGCAGGAGAAGGCAAGGTGTTAGAATGAACTGGGAGTTTTGGAGACCTGGGTTCTTGATCTTGAGTGAGGCCTTTCTCTCTCTGAGACTTAAGTTTCCCCATTTGGAAAATCACCAGGTTGGACTTGATCTCTAAAGACCTTTCTTCTTTCTTCTACCATCTGTTTCCTAAGTACTCGGGATAACAAACCCACCTGAGTTTTTCTCATTCTCATGTTGACCGAGTTACAATTCTCATCAGCTTCCTCTTTCTGGGGTTCTATGGCTGTGGGAAGATACAGGATATTGGTGGGGGAGGGGATTTGACCTGCAGCTTCTGAAAATAGTTCGGGGACCAAGATACTGTGCCAGGGCCACACCCCAACCATACGATGGAGAGATTCTTATGTCCACAGGGTCTTTCGGGGGAAGTTTATCACAATGTGACTAATTCTGAGCCTCCACAGGAGAAAGTATATTTTTCTTTGCAATACATTAGAGAATTCCCACAGGTATAGAGGCTTCCTAACAAAATCCCCATCTACCTTCCTAAATAATGCACGCTGGGCAGCAAGAATTGTAGGAGTAAATGGTATCATTATAAATAAAGGAAGCCAAGAGGCAGGCACATGCTATGGAAAGTACTGTAGACTGGAAGCCAGGAGACTGAGATTCTAGACCTAGGCCTGCTGTGTCCTGCATATATCACTGGCCTTTCTGGGCCACACACTCCCCAGTTATACCAGCAGTTGGGTAGGACCAGAGGGAAGGCTCTATCTGAGGTCCTAGGAGCTCACCCTTCAGCTGGGCGCGGATCTCCCTCCCCAGCTGTTTGATCTCTTCGCGCAGGTTCTGCAGGCGCTGCTTCATGCCTGAACAAGAGAAAGCTGTGACTTTCAAACAGCAGCCCCCTAACCTCAACAAATCTTCCAGGCCACCACCTGCGTGGAACTACAATCCCCACAATCCCTTCAGCTGAGCATGCGTCCTGCACCGGGGCTGCCACTCACTGTCCTCGGGAAGGGGCGTGGCCAGGATGGTAACCTGCTGCTTCTCCAACTCTCGGACTTCATTCTCCAGCTTGACAATAGTTTGCCGAATTGTTCGGATCTGGAGAGGGTAATCGAGAAGGCTGAAGAATGAATGGGGGTCCTCCAGACCGTGCTGCTCCTCGGATCCTCTAGCCCTCTCGTGAATCCAGGCCAAGACCCCAGCCGCTTACCTTCTGGAAGAATTCATCGTCCGGGCTGCCCAGCCGAGCCGTGCCCGGGTGTACCACCAGCGCGATCCGCTCCTTGTCCTCGTCGTCCGAACTGTCATCCCCCTGCCAGGTCCCGCGGTCACTGGCATCACTTCCATGCCATCGCTCTCTCCCAGCAGGACTCACAGACTTCCGGGTCTTTCCTTCCTAGCCCTCAGCCACCCCTCCCTGCCCCGAAGACCAAGAGTCCTGCATTCCAGCCAGACCCCACCCCGTCCGCCCGTCCCGACCCGGATGCCCCGATTCCTTACCTGCCTCAGCTCGTGGGTCCTGTCGCGCATGGCGGCCCGAGCTTCCCCCTTCCCCGTGCGGGAGCCCGAGGGCCTCAAGATTCTAAGTTTGGAACTCCCGCACCCCACTCACACTCTGACACTGACACTGCCCTGCGCCCTCACCCTGAGGGTCCCCAAAGCCCCCACGAGCCGCGAGAGGCTCCGTCCCTGGCACCATCCACAGTCAGGAGAAGGAGCCGTTCTCGGGGACCCCCAGGGTTCCACAGTTTGGAATTCCCTTTTCTTTCCCCCCTCCCGCTCCCGCAACCTCGGCCCCACCCACTCTGGAAGATTGGGACATGCGCACGCGGTCGCTTCTCCTCCTTGCCCGAGAGGCGGCTGTCGGAAGCTGCAGCACCCTGAACGGAAGCAAAACTACCAGGACATGAAAATTCGCCCCCTTCACCGGAACTGTTGCATCTTCCAGCGGAAACCTAGTTGTCAAAAGGGGTGGGAATGCGTCATTTATACGTAATCAGAGAAGTTCTTCATCTCAACATCACGCCACGGTGCCCCGTCCCCGACCCCCGCGTCACGTGGCCGCCCGGATCACGGCTTGGCGGACCAAAGAACTGGGCGCTTTCACTGTTACATGTCTCGGCTCTGTTAATTCCATCTCTGAAACACCGTTCTCCCCACCATATCCCGGGTACCCTGGCGCCAAGCTACTCCCCAGCAGCCCCCACTAAGCGGGGTGGGGGTGGGGGCGCTACCTACCCCCAGAGACCTTTTGAGACGGTGGGTGATAGGAACTTTGCTGAATCCAGCTTTATTTCTTTTGGGTCCAGGGGCGTGGGCACACTGAAACAACTTACAATTTAGGGCTGTCAGCATCATGGGACCTTGAAACTCAGAAGATAATAAGATCCAGTGTTAGAGAATTGCAGGGTTTTTTTGGCGGTGGAAAGTGACCTCACCCAAGGCAGAGAGCCCTTCTCCCGCATACTTCTGCGCAACCTCTGACAGGCGGGCGGCTGGCGCCGTCCTCGAACACTGCAGTACCACTGCACTCCACCTGAGCAGTAAGACCATTTCAGGGCAGCTCAGGCTGAGCAAAGTGTCTGTTTTTTACCAGAGCTGTTTGTTACTTGCCCCCTCCTCCAACCCTGTTCGCGACTTTGCACCTGGGTGTACCGTCTGGAGCCCACAAAAAAATCCACACACACTTTCCACAGTATAGTGGAGTTTTTGAAGCCAGGCCACGACTGTCTTGTTCTTACCTGAATCCCTAGTTCAGTACCTAGCACATAATGAGCTCTCAATAAATATTTGTGGAATTGTAGCCTTTCATGTACCTGAAGATAATCTCTTGTTTCCCTAGACTTCGCTTTCAGGCTTCATGCTCTCTAGGTGACACTTCCCTAATCCTAGCCCTCTAGCCATTCATTCGGTTAATGGATATTTACTGGGCACATTCCTTGCCTTTGTGGAACTTACATTAGGAGGAGTCCCCAAGGCCACGCACTGGGTCTCAGCATAGCTGGAATGCATATCTGGTCTCCTTAAATCCAGGGCTCTTCCCAGCGAGTTTATAGGAAGGTTCAAGCAGAGGAAGGAATGGTCCCTCTCTAGTATGGTAAGGAAATCTAGATTCCTGTAACTGAGTTACTGTGGACCTCTGGAAAGTCACTTTGTCTCTGGACCTCAATCTCCCATCTATGCAATGGATGGCAGTAGATGGATGGGGAGATAATCTTTATGAATATTCCCTGCTCTGAAGTTCAGTGATCATGGGGTTGGAAAATGCCAAGTGCTTGTCTGATTCAAAGTGAGGGGTTTTGATCCTTTTCCTCTCCCCTTTAGATCCCAGCTCACTTGGGGTTGGGAATAAAGGAGTGAGGATGGTGCTCCTCTGATGAACCCACAGGGGAAATGAAGGGTTAGAAGGTTTTTCAAGAGGCCACACCTGCCCCTTGGGGTCCCCTGGAGATTATGAGGAAGGATTTCTCTGCTCTTGGGTCTTCCATATCAGCCTCTGCCTCCCTGCTCCCCTCCCCTTCTTTCACCATCTGTGTGTCTCTCATATTCTGTCTCTTTGAGTGTTACAGTAGAAGGGCTTTTGGAATCTGGGTGTGATTTTGAATAATTCATTGCTCCTCTCTGGGATTTCATTTCTCCAATTGATCCCTTGGTCTGGTAAGAATTGAACAATATCAAGCGAGGTAAAGGAGGATATGGGAGGTCTTTAAACAGTTAAAGGTTCCCCCCTCTGCAGGCTTTTATTACTGCAGGTTCCAACTCTTTCTGGGCCCACCAGTCCCACCTGTCCCACCTGTCTCTGTTTCTTAGTTTTTTGATGACTTGCCTTCTTGGTTCCCATCTGTGATATGGAGTTGTTGGTGCCTTTGTTAAATATCCTGGGATTATGAAATTAATTATTATTTGTGGGCTCTAGGTGAGATTGCAGGGTTTTGGAATGGTGACTTAAGATCATAGGAGGCTTGGCTCAAAGCCTCATGGAGTAGTGTGGAGAGGTTAGGGGAGCGAGACCTCTAAGGGTGAATGGCTCTGGGATGGAGCTCTCCAGAGCTGAGCCCTCATCTCTATTTCATGGTCCTTTTTTACTCCTCTCACTCTGAGCAGTCTTGAAATATGTATTAAGTATACTGGGCCTTGGATGTGTGGGTGTTGGGGTTGTGTGTGGGTATATTCCTTTCAGTCTGTGTGAAGATCAGGTAGGGAGACTTGGCAGCCTCTTGTCCCCTCCACCTGCAGGTCCTTCCTACTAACCCTGGAGCCAGATGACCTGGGCTGAAATCCCAGCTTGTTTTCCTACTATATAGCTCTCTTAATGCATTTCATCTCTCTCTGCTTCAGTTCCCTCACTTGAAAAATGGGAACAATAACAGTACCAACCTCAAAGGTTGCCACAAGGATTAAATTAGACGATATATATAAAGTGAATAGAACAGGGCCTAGTATGGAGTAAGTGTCATGTAAGTGCTTGCTGCTATTATATGGTGGTGATGAGGGTGTCAGCAGCCGCAGTGTCTCTGCCAGGGACTCCACTCTGCTGCTTGTCCAGGGCCTCTTCCCTTTTCCTGAGCCCCACTGTGCACTAGGTTTGTGGCCAGCAGCCTTGCCAACCCTGCACATCTCTCATGTCTCCACTTTGATCTGATGTACCATATACTTTATTTTATATTATTTATATTAATTATATATAGTCTGCCTTCACCCCTCCTCTCCACCCTACTAGAGTGTAAGCTCCAGGACAGAGATTTTCACCTGCATTATTCACTGTTGTGTCCACAGCACCTACACAGCACCTGGCACATAGTAGCTGGTCAATAATATTCATGAATGAATAAAACAACTTTTTTTTTTTTTACATAACCAAAGCATACCTATAATTACCAGCCATCTCCGTGAAACCAAGAAAACCAGTTAGGCACCTTAGGCATTTGTGAAAACTTACCTATGATATGGTGGATATTGTCCAACTGAACTTGAACAGTCTGAGAGAAATCAGACAAATTAAAACAACCCATTCCTGGGGACTGTTCACATCCCATATGTTCTTTTAACAGTAAATAGTCTGTAGTTGTAAGATTTTGTAGTGCT